GTGCCACCCACTTTCTTGTAACATTAATTTCTTGACAAAAACGAAATCTACCACCAACATCACATTCTACCATTGCAGATTATTTATAATTGCAAGATAATATTTTGACAGATGGCATATTATGATAAATAACTCGCATTTACTAGTAAGAAGTAAACACCTCGTACATTAAGTCCGCATGTATAAATTCCTGTGTATATGAAGTAAAATAAATAAACATGCTTAGCGTACGTTCCATCGCTGTCGTACACACCAAGTAAGAAATAACCAAATACTAAAAAAAAACTTAAAAAAATCACAATTAAGAAAAGGGTTTTGTAAAATGTATGGTCCTGGAATAGTGCCTAATTTGTAAACGCTAAAGATAATGTTAACAGGAGTGTGTTATTTCTTTGCCCATCAGATTTTACCCTACGGTTTAGTTGTAACTGTGTGGAATTGGACGAATATGCGCGGAAGATTGATCTTCATTTGTATGCCATTCTTGCCCCCTACATGTTTGAAAGTAAATTCAAGTTCCATCCGACAAGGAAAACATGTTGAGAATAATATTTTTTACAACTGACACTTCTCACGTTCGTCAACTGATTGAATTAAACTGGTTTAATATGACTGACTTTGGAGAAGATTTCAGTTTGCTATCCAACTCATAACTGCCATGTTTTAACATGTTTCCTTTAGATAAACAATTAAAATGTATTGTCGGTTTTAACTGTATGGTTGTAAAACCATCATTCATTATCCAATGCGTACGCATTATGGCCGCTTATGTGCTTTTCGTACTAGTATAAAATATTTTATAGCTTCAACTCTAATTGTTTGAAAGGCTACAATGATTTCGTATCATTGTTTACTGAAATTATTTACTCATTTGACCTTCTTTATCAATATTCTAATACATATTACGCACTAAACATTTGCAATTTATGACTTTTATGCTCTATTCATCATCAATGCAATATTACATAATAATGGAAAAATACAAAAAACCGAGCAGAGAAAGCGTACGGACCTAGTACGTACTAAGAGTTGCCAAACTGAGCGTTCTGGATCATTTAATAATACTACATTTTGTATTGATTATTTATGTATTTTAGACCATCAACAAGATAAGTACCATAGCATTTTATATATTATATTTTAACAGATTTTGCTTATGACTGAGTACAAACTACACAGGCAGCAACATGCACAGTTATAACAGTTAGACAAAACAACATGTTATATTAAGGGCCGATTTTTTAATCCGCTGATAAAAGTTATTCAAATGTTAAAATATAACAAGTTAAACGTTACAGTTAAATGAACAGAATAGTAGTCTTTTGTATTCGGTCAGGATATAATTTATGATGGTATTAGATATACAGGATAGATATTACATATAAGATCAGATTTTATAAAACACAACCTCATAATGTCCTGCAGAACAATAGTTATTACCTGTTACTTATATTTCAAACGGGATCTAGGACTGTCTATGGTAATATACAGAGCATAGACATGACTGATTATGTCATGTCTATGGTCTGTATATATATTCTATTAAAGGCATATATAGATATTGGGCGATGGGTCGATTGTATTAGACAAAATCTTCCGCGCAGTCCCAAATATGCTATTATAATTATATTTTACTTTTATTTGATAGGGGCGTTGGAAATCATTTGATATATTAATGTGTTCTCGTGTCTGTACGTTCACACTAATTTGTTTCCAAGCGATAGCTCGATTTTACATTCAAAATGGTATGGTACGCTCCCCAGTGGAGTCTAACGAATTGTGATATTCTGACCTAAATTAAGGTGAAAATGTTAAAATTCCTCTGCCATGTGTGTAGTTTTTCATAATGAAATATAATTAAAAAAAAATTAGCAAAAAAATAAAATATAATTGAATAATAATAAATACTCTAATGTATCGCTATAGTTTATGACGAGGTGCTTTGTTTTGTGCTAGTTCGTCATTTTTTATCATTTTCTTTCATTGTATATTATATGGTAACCCTAGATTATTGATGCTTGTAACATTTATGTTATACACTGTGTGATATAGCCATAGAGATGTTACAGATAAAAAAGTATTATATTAGGCGGGAAGAAATGGCGGGAAATTGCTTTTAAATAGGTCTTTGTTTTCGATTGAATTTTATTGTAAGTGTCGTTTCTCGCTGTAATATCTCTTTGGTTGTGTGTTGTTGCAGATATAACTGTATCTTAGTTTTATATTGATTGCTTTATGTGCTATCTTCACACACAGTTTCGACTGTGGGTATTATATGTAAAAATCTTAGTTACAATAATACTGTATATTTTATTATCGACCTAACGACTGTCTGCGTCTTCAGATTAAAAAAATAACTATACAATTTTTAGGGTTTCGTTTTTGTATAGGTTGTGTTGTGTTTTCATGTGAGAGCTGACAGAAATGAATAGATGTATTGTCCGTCACTGCATAGATATAATATATATTATTTTTATTTATAGCCAGACATCTTGCTATTTATTTTCTATAATAGTCTTTGAATTACCTCATACGCAGCTGTAATTTATATATTTTATATCAAGACATGTTACGATACTAACCTATATTGGAAGATGGAAATAAGTAGCAAGTTATATAACGATATCTTTTGAAATATTTCAACATATTATTGCAATACAGAGTGATCGTTCTTGATTATTGACCTTTTTACTGGAAACTAGACTTCTGATACTGACTGGAACTGATAACACATCTGCATTTTGATTCTTAATCGACAATAAATGTGGATGTCTATGGGCTACAGCATCCACTTACCATCAGAGTGATTGTGTGCTTATTTGTCGCCCTTGTTCTATAAGAAAAAATGCTGATACTTTTACATATGGTGGTATAACATTAAATGCCGAACTCGAATTTCTCAAATAATAAATTATAAATTTAATTTACCAATTGGTTTTTTAATCCAATAACGATATGCGATTCAATTCAATTTAATTTAATCAAATTCAGCATCGATATCCTCCTCTGAAGAACTCTTAATTATATCCAGCAATTAATCCAATTAAAACAAAAGATGCCAAACATGCACTTACCAGGGCGATCGTCGGTGATGTGAGAGCACTGACATATATATTTTAGTATTTTTACCGTGTACGGTACCTTGTTGTGGTATGTTATATATGATAGCGCAATATATTTTAATAAAATGAATATATATTTTATCTACGTATGTGGCGGTCCCTAACATTTAATTCAGCGGGTGATTATTTTAGTTATATTTTTGTATTAATATTTTCTTAAATGAAATTCATGCCTTTGATTGATGTTACTGTTATTTTTCTGCTACCTCTTTTAATAATAAAATATAATTAAATTAAATTATTAAAAATGTATGGTATAATTTCTTTTATACAATTATTGTATATATTTATATAAATATTGAAATGTAAAAAATGTGTTAACGCATATTTGTATTATAATACAATAATACAGGCATCCTTGTAATTAAATTTAAAATTAAAAAAAAATGATTGTATATATTATGTTGTATGTATTTATTTTAAAGGTAGTACGAGACATGGCGAGTTAAACGACAGGAGAAATTTTATTTACTAGTAAGAGAATCCTCTCTTTGTTAAACATAATTCTGCTAAATATTTAGTTTTACGTGTTTACTATCTACAGAACATTTCTTGGTTATTCTTTATACATGTTTGTAAAATTCAAAGGTTTTTTACTGCTGCTACTAAACCATGTACAGAAACCGATAGTGCGCACTTCGTTAGGTTTGCGACATCTAGCGTGAAGCGGAGAAACTATACCATACAGTTTTTGTTAAAGATATTCTACTCAACACAGAACTTGCAGTGTCTAGTACCACCTTTACGATTCGTTTTGGCGCCAGTCGTTAGGTCGATAGTGCCTCGCCATTAATTTTCATACTAGCCAGTTTATTAAGTTTATAGTTAAGTTTTATTTGGGATAAATAATTTTGGCTGATTTCAAAAATAAATATTTATAATGCGAAAGCGATAAATGCCTTTTATTTTAAACTTAAGCCTATGTAATACACATATAATATAACAATTTAAAACATATCAAAATATTTTTTACAATAATATTTACCAATACGATACTATAGTTACCGTTACCGTTACAGCGTATTAAAGTTCATTGCTGAACATAGGCCTCCCCATAGATTGCCTCACAAGGGGGATAATTGCGTTAGTTACCACGCTTGACAAGCGGGTTGGCAACCGTAGTTTTTTATTTTTAGATTTTATTCATTAGGAAGAATTTAGTCTTACGACACCCACGGGATGATATGAGATAGTAGACATTCTTCAACAGCCTTGTACGGCAGATACACGCCCGCTAAACGTGACAATTATTAATGTAAATCGTCCCTACAAATCTAGGATGCTCCAGTCCCAAACCTAGTAGTAGCCTAAGTACATATACGTGTAGTAATACGCTCGTTAAAAGCAATAAGGGTGTGAAAGTAATTTCGATAAACTAGATTTCTTTTTCGTTGATTATAGTTTACTGTAGGGTACTTTGTTGTATAATTATAATATATAAAGCTACAGAGTTACAGCTGAAAATGTGCTGTTTATTACACGGAAGAGGACGTAGTCAAATAAAAAGGATCCAATTCACAAAAAGCTGCTGTTAAAATAATGACATTTTTTAGAACTTGGGTCTTTATTCAGTAATAATAGCTTGCTCTAATTTGTTTGTATTTTTGATTTTCCTCGACTGCGACTTTCGCTAGAAGTATCATGAAAAAGTACTTACGTAAATCTTAATACTACAAATATGATAATACAAAAAGCACCTTCAAAATGTTTATTTTTTTTTTTTTGTTTTTTTTACTTGTAGCCATCATCTTACATTACATTTTATATATCAAATAACTTATACTACTTAAATAATTTTTTGTAACACTTATTCTATATAGATACACTTATTTCACTGTCTACATACAATGAATGTCAATTTAGAAAGCCTCTATTATATCAAAACACTTGATCGTCCGTCTCCCGCAATAATGATTCATATATATGAACAAAACTGTCGATCCCTTCCTTAAAGTTATAATCAACAGTCTCTTCCTCGTCATCATTGAAGAATGCATGCGCGAAATCTATCAACTTCACCGTCCCCCAATGGTTGGGATACGGAGACTCACTCGATAGCTGGTCCAGTACTGCTCTGTAGTTCATTTTTATTTTTGACAGTTTATCCTCATAGTTATGCTCAAAGGAGTGGCTGTGATTTAGTTTCTCCAAAGCCTCGGACCACGGGGAGTTGACGGGTGGTGGGGGAGCGAAGTAGTTCTGAGCTTCGGCCATGGAAGATAGCGTTACCGGGTTAACTTTTTTATATACGGGACCGTCGGAGCTGATCTGTCCGCTGAAGTTTGAGCCCGCAGTTGGGTTGTATGTGGAGTGAATAGATTTCCTTCGCACTAACGGTCGTTGGGTACACGAATTGAGGTTTCTGAAATTTGAGAATAAAATCATGATGATTGGGATGACAAACGTTTGGGTTCCAAAAAATTTTTTTATAGGATAGGGTGACAAACGAGCACACAGTCCATCTGATGGTAAGTGGTTGCTGTGGCCCATAGACATCTACATCTATCCTCGTTTGCGAATCAAAATGCAGATGCGTTGTTACCCGTAAGGACTAAGATGGAATGCCTATTTTCCAGTAAAAAGGGTCTCCGGATCTCTACACTCACCATACGAAACACAGCAATGTTAAGCTGCTACTTTACGCTGGTATTCTGTGATAGCGTGGTCCTACCCCGGTCGAGCCGACCCATTCATGCTACAACTATAGTATTTTTTATAGTATCAGGGTGACTACTAAGCGCACAGTCTACTCGATGGCAGGCAGACGCTGGCCAGGCACCCTACACTTACCCTACGGAAATAATATGCCTGCGTCTGTTACAATTTGGACTAACTTCAAGGCAAGAGTGAATATAAGCTTTTGTTACAGTAAACAGCGCGATTTCAACTTTTTATTATACTTTGGAGAGGAGGCACTTAAATTTACTCAAAGACTGTAAAGGAACCCCTGACAGTGTATCTATCTAACAACAGTAACATCATCATCATTATTGTCACACGCTGAAGATTAAGTTGCTTCAGTGTGTCATCACCTTGTATAAAATAATCTCACCGGTGGTGGGGAGAAGAACTAAAGTGTGAGGGTATCTCTGCGCTCACTAATCTGCCTGCCTCGCGTGATAAAGAACTGTTTCAAGTAACGCAAGACTGATGGCGCCTGTATGAAAATGCCATCGTCCAAAAAAAAAGCTTGCGATGCGACCATGCACTTGATTTGTAATTCAATGGTTCATACCTTGGTCTCACATCTCTATCAACCCGTTTAATAACGGTAATAAACAAATCAAAATATCCATACAACTATTAATTACATTTTAATTCATTCGTCAAGGCTTTTTTATGTACACAGGAGAACGATAGGGTAAGATCTGTTGGGGTGCGAAGTCAGAAGTCCTCCACGTGTGCCTGGTAGTTGCGGGTCCCTCTCGATACGTCTGGAGGGAAGAGCAGCTACTGGGCCGGTGCACCCTGGGCGCGGCAGTAATCTTCCTCGAGAAATGAGAAGAAATTCTTACTCCTTGGGGAAGGTTACTGCCGCGGCTAATTATTCTGACATGGGTGGGGTCCGTCCCGGACCAACGGCGCGTTCCACTGCGTGACCCTCTGATCAGCAGAGGGCATAGCAGAGGAGTGAGGGCGGGCTCGGTGTGCACTTACCCTGCCTCCGGGCAGACAGTGAAGGATTCATCCTTTGCTGTCACCGCCGGTCTCGTAATCCCAGTATCGAAGTGTCGTGGATCATGTCTCGCGGCTTTGATTGGGACCGAGGGTCTTGGCTTAACCGCCCGGACCGCGAGGGAGAAAACCTCTATAAAAAGTTACCCCGAATCTCAAGCGGCGACGCACCGCGAGGGGATGGATGGCTGACGGGGTTCTATGAACAAATCAGTCGATAGTGCGCTCCTCGCCAGGGTACCTGCAGACCCCCTGGCGAGTAATAAATCCTCTAAATCTGCTTACCTTGGTAAGGGGTCACTGCCAAGGTGGACATTTAATTACTCCCATACTCGTGGGTACAAATATGGAAAATAAAGAACAAAAAACCAAAACCGCCGGCAACGGCAACGTAGAGGAGAGGAGGAACGATGCGGGGACAGAGTCCGACGCCGCATCGAGCAGCGTGGGAGGCTCAGAGAGCTCCCGACGCGTGGAGCCTGGGACCGCGGAGACCAGTAAGTTCTTCCGCAAGCGGTCCAGGCGGGATGGCGACCAGGGGTCGTCAGCCGGAGAAGAGGAGACTTCGGCCCGGAAAATCCCCACCAACAGGCGGGGCGGGCTGAGAGGCAAGGGGAGGGGGCCCTCTGACAATCAGAGGGCCGAACAAGCGGCAAAGCATGCCGAGGAGGGGCGCCACCCGGGCGATACGGCTCGGGTATCAGGCGAAGAGACGGATGCGACTGGCGGCTCCGAGGTGGAGCGTAAGGCCAGATTCGTAAAGGAGGTGGAGGCCGCGATCAAGGTCGTGGCCCACAAGCAAAAGGCCTCCTCAAAGTTAAAGGCCATTCCCGCGGCCTCCGCCTCCATCATGGCGGCTGCGGAGGCCAACTTTGTTGGGGCCGAGCTTAATGTAAACGAGGTAGCGGAGCTGCGGGCGGAAGTGGCCCGCCTGACGTCCGCCATGGAGACTCTCCAGAAGGAGAACGAGAAGCTCCGCGCAGACCTGGCCAGTCTACGTGAGCCTGCCTCTCGCGCGGCGCCCCAGACGCAGCGCCCAAGCCAGCCCGTGCCGGTGGAGAACCAGGTTCTGAACCTGGTCCGGCAGGAGCTGGCTGCCTTCCAGCACCGGTTCTCCGTGCTGGAGGGCATCGTCCTGCGCCCCCCCCTAGGGGCAAACAAGACGGCGGCGAGGCCGGCAACGGTCTCGTACGCGGCGGCCACAGCTGCCGCATCCAGGCCGGGGCCGTCCAGCCAGCCTTCGGGCGGGGCTGCAGTTGCCCCTCCTCCCCCTGAAAAGCCGGCTCCGGCAAAACCGGTACCGGCTGAACCGGCTCCGGCTAAGCCGGCAACGGGAAAGAGAGGCAAGGCGAAGACAAAAAAGGGCAAAGCGGCAGCACAGGTGGTGGCTGCGCCAGCCCCAGTGCCTGCGGCGAATGTGCCAGCGCCAGCGGCAAGCCAGCTGCCGCCGCCGCCACCGCCCCCGCAGCTCCCTACACCTCCCACGGCTGAAGCCGGTTGGCAGGTGGTCGGGGACAAAAATAAGGGGAAGAAGGCAGCCAAAAAGGCCAAAGAGCAGGAGCGGCAGCGCCAGTTCAGGGCGCGCAAGATGGCGGCTAGGCTCCGCGCCCCGAAGACCGCAGCTGTAGTGATTACACTACAGCCGGACGCGGAAAAGAAGGGCGTTACCTACCGCGATCTGCTCGCGAAGGCGAAAGAGGCGGTGGATCTCGGGGAGCTCGGGATCACCGGGGGCCTCCGGCTCAAAGTCACCCAGACGGGGGCCCGTATGCTGGAGATCCCCGGGGAATCCAGTGGCGCGACCGCGGACGCTCTGGCTGCGAAGCTCAGAGCGTCCCTGGACGCGGACGAGGCCCGAGTGTCCAGGCCCGTCAGATGCGCAGACCTGCGCATCATGGGTCTGGACGACTCGGTATCGGAGAAGGAGTTAGTGGCCGCCATCGCCAGGTCCGGGGGGTGCACTACTGACCAGGTCAGGTCAGGCGCCATACGCCCGGACCAACAGGGTATGCATGCCGCCACGGTGTGCTGCCCTGTTACGGCGGCCAAAACCATAGTGGAGGGCCGAAGGCTTCTGGTGGGCTGGGTCTCAGCGCAGGTTAAGCTGCTGGAGCCCAGACCTCTGAGGTGCTACCGCTGTCTCGTGGGGCACCACGTATCTGTGAAATGCGCCTCGGAGGTTGACCGCAGTGGCCTTTGCTTCCGCTGCTGTCAGCCCGGACACATATCGGCGACCTGCTGCGCCACGCCGCACTGTGATGCATGTGCGGCGACCGGCAAGCCAGCCGATCACCGGGCCGGAAGCAAGGCCTGCGTGCCACCCGCCAAGGCCAAGGCCGCGGGTAGGGGAGGGCCCTCCGCCGCCACCGTCTCTGTGGCCACCGCCGCAGTCGCGACTGCCGCCGCCGCCGCCGCCGCTGTCATTATCGCTGCCGCCGCCGCCGCGACACCGACGCCCGCAGAGAGGCGCCCCGTGGAGGAAGCTGAAATGGAATGCCTATAACGGCCCCATTAAGCTTCCTCCAGGCGAATATCAACCACTGCGCCTGCGCTCAGGATCTGTTGCTCCAGAGCATGGCGCAGTGGTCGATCAACATCGCTGTGGTCGCTGAGCCGTATTTTGTCTGGCCTAGGGAGGACTGGGTGGCGGACCTTAACGGCTCAGTGGCCATCATTTCTTCAGCCGCCGCCGGTACCCCGACCCTTGAAGGTGTCAGGAGGGGTCAGGGGTGTGTAGCAGCACGGTTCGGGGAGTTCGTCGTTGTGGGGGTGTACTTCTCCCCGAACCGATCTCTCGCCGAGTTTCACAACTCTCTTGCAGAGCTGAGAGCAGTCGTCGTCGGAAGTAATCCCCTCCCCGTACTTGTCCTCGGGGACTTCAATGCCAAGAACTTGGCTTGGGGTTCTCGTCGTACAGATGTGCGGGGTAGGATGGTGGAAGACTGGGCTCTGGAGACAGGCCTGGTCGTCCTAAATCGGGGTTCTGTCCCCACGTGTGTGCGGATGCGGGGCGAGTCGGTGGTGGACATTTCGTTCGCTAGCCTCGCTCTGTCGCCGCGTGCCATTGACTGGCGTGTCATGGAGGGGGTGGAGACCTACTCCGACCACCGGTACATCCGGTTTGACGTCTCCACCCAGCCCTCGAGCGCGCCAGTCCAACAGGCCCCGAGTGGTCCGCGTTGGGCGCTGAAGCAGCTGGACCGGGAGCTCCTCCTGGAAGCCTCGATCGTGCAGGCCTGGGTGTCATCACCGGACAGGCCTGCCGACGTCAATGATGAGGCAGGGTGGTTCCAGGAGGCCATGTCCGAGATATGTGACGTGGCAATGCCCCGCGTCCGGCCAGGAAGCGCCCGGCGTCAGGTGTATTGGTGGTCGCGTGAGCTGACGTCTCTGCGCGAGGCGTGTGTCGCCGCGCGGCACCTGTACGCCAGGCATCGCAGGCTCCGCATTCGTCCACCGAATGCGGCAGCCATTGAGGCGGAGCTGTACGAGGGATACAGAGCGGCAAAGACCGCCCTCCGGGAGGCAGTCCTGCGGGCCCGGGATCGGGCCCGTGAGGAGATGCTGGAGACTCTCGATAGAGATCCGTGGGGGCGCCCTTACAAGATCGTGCGGGATAAACTCCGCACCTGGGCCCCCCCGCTGACGCAGAGTCTCCGGCCTCAGCTCGTGGAGGATGTGGTGAGCGCTCTGTTCCCTGCGCGCGGGGAACATCCGCCCCCGCCTATGGCTCCGCCACCTGCGGTGCCGGAAGCGGACCACCAGGACGACGACGACGACATCCCGGAAGGGACCGGGGTAGACCTGAGAGTGGCGGTACGTAGGCTCAAGGCCAGGAATACCGCCCCAGGACCCGATGGCTTGCCTGGCAAAGCCTGGGTCCTGGCCTCGGGCCCCGACTGGAGGGGCTCCTAAGCGCATGCTTGGAGAGAGGCCAATTCCCGCTTCGTTGGAAGACGGGGAAGCTGGTCCTCATTCGGAAGCCGGGGCGCCCTGCGGACTCTCCGTCCGCATACCGGCCCGTGGTGCTGCTCGACGAGGTGGGCAAGCTCTTTGAAAGAGTAATTGCAAACCGCCTCGCCGAGCACCTTGCGGGGACGGGGCCGGATCTTGCGGAACACCAGTTTGGTTTCCGCAAGAGGCGCTCTACGGTGGACGCCATCATGCGCGTGAGAGCCCTCACGACGGGGGATGCAGTGGCCAGGGGGGGGGGGGTTGTCTTGGCGGTGTCTCTCGACATCGCCAACGCCTTCAACTCCATGCCCTGGAGCTGCATTAGGGAGGCACTCCGGTATCACCGGGTGCCGACCTATCTCCGTCGTATAGTCGGGGACTATCTGACGGACAGGGCCGTCATCTACCCCGGTCGAAACGGAGAGTGGAACCGGCGAGAGATGTCGTGCGGTGTCCCACAGGGTTCGGTTCTGGGGCCGCCCCTGTGGAACATCGGTTACGACTGGGTGCTGCGCGCCGACCTCCCTACCGGCGTCAGCGTAGTTTGCTACGCTGACGACACGCTGGTACTGGCACAAGGGGGGTCGTACGAGGCGGCGGCGGAAACTATGACACGCGGGGTTGCGATAGTCGTTGAGAGGATCCGGCAACTGGGTCTCGAGGTGGCTCTGCACAAGTCCGAGGCCATGCACTTCCATGGTCCTCGGAACAGGCCACCACCGGGATCCTCAGTGATGGTAGGAGGGGTATCCATCGGCGTCGAGTCGACGTTGAAGTACCTAGGACTCGTCCTCGACGGCCGATGGAACTTCGTTGAGCACTTCCGACGTTTGGCTCCCAAACTGGAACGGACCGGGGCTGCCTTCAGGCGGCTCCTGCCGAACCTGGGGGGGCCAAACGCCTCCTGCCGGAGGCTCTACGCGGGGATCGTGAGGTCCATGGCCCTTTACGGGGCCCCGGTGTGGGCGCGTGGTTTGGCGCGGCTTGCCGACCACCACCTAAACGCGCCCCAAAGGGTGGTTGCCGTAAAGATGGTTCGCGGCTACCGCACGATCTCCCGCGAGGCGGCGAGCCTCCTTGCCGGATTGCCGCCATGGGATCTGGAGGCGATAGTCCTCGCGCGCCTGCACGAATGGCGCGCGGCAGCACTATGCCGGGGGGAAACCCCGCTGCCGCGGCAAGTTGTCGCGCAGCGGACAGACTTCCGGCACGATCTCATGGCGACATGGAGAGAGCGACTGTCGCAACCCCGTGCTGGGCACGCCACTATAGCGGCGATAAGACCCCTCTTTGAGGAGTGGCTTGAGAGACGCCACGGCGTCCTCACCTTCCGCCTGACGCAGGTCCTCACCGGACACGGTGTGTTCGGGAGGTTCCTGCACCGAATCGGGCGGGAGGAAACGCCCGGGTGCTCCCACTGCGAGGATCGACCGGAGGACACGGTGGAGCACACCGTGGAGGTGTGCTCTGCTTGGGCGGAGCACCGCCGTGTCCTCGTAGCGGCGATAGGCGGCGGCGACCTCTCGCGTCCGGCTCTGGTCGAAGCCATGGTCCGGAGCGAGACGGAATGGGATGCCGTCACCACCTTCTGCGAAGCAGTGATGCTAGCGAAGGAGGTGGCGGAGCGGGAGAAGGAAAGAGCAACAGCTTTCCTTCCCGGCCGCCGCGGGAGACGCCCCGGGCGTCGGGGGCTACGTCGTGGCCCCCGACCACCGTAGGCGCGGGCCTGTGGACGGCGAGCAATGGGTAGCTCGCCGTCCGTCCGTCTAACGACGACAGGCCGTGTCGACGGCGCGTTTTGTTCCACGCGCGCCTCAAAGAGCTGTCAGCAGCGTGAAGGGGCCCGCAAGGGCCGACGCCTGCCGGGGCTGCGGGCTGTTCGAAAGAGATACCGCGGCTCCGGAACGTAAGGGCACTGAAGGAACACGGATGGTTTTTAGTCAGTAAAAGTCTGACACTCCCTTCCGCTCCACCCACAGCGAAAGGCGTCATTAGATGATTTTCCATCCGCAAAAAAAAAAAAAAAAGGGTAAGATCTGTTAGGTTTTCGGGCGTTAAATCTAACCCAAAAATTAAGTAACCAAAGTACTATTAAGATAGAATATAGATAGTAACAAGTTACAACTATTTGTAGGTAAGTATGCACAGGGTATCCGGCGGCAGAATTAGGATTACATTTACCAATATTTTTAAATGTAAAAAACTTAGGGCGGAAACGGGAAATTAGATTTTTGGAACGAAGTTCGGTAAAAACGGTACGAATTTGGGGGATGGAGGCTAGGCGAAAAATAGTGAAAGATTTTTCCGTCACGACCCTTTTTATAGTGCGAGCAAGATGGAATAATTATATTACTATTAAAATAATATTTGTTTCACGGCAAGATAGCCGTGAAACAAATATTCTTTTAATAGACGCTAGTAGGCAATTCATTTATTGGTATTTGTTAATCAATAATGTAATACGTTTATCAATAATAACAGGAGGTGCTAAGAACCTCCACCGGAGGTTCTTAGCACCTCCTGTTATTATTGATAAACCTAAGACGACTCGACCTGGCAACATACAACGCACGCACCCTGAGGACTAACGAGAAGATCGTAGAGCTGGAAGAAGAGATAGCCAAGTTAAGCTGGCATATAATAGGATTATCCGAGGTCCGAAGAGAGGGGGAGGACACGGTAATCCTCAAATCCGGCAACTTGTTCTATCACCGGGAGGCCGACCATCTGTCCCAAGGAGGTGTCGGATTTATCGCCCACAAGTTTCTCGTTAAGAACGTTGTAAAGATTGTGAGTGTGTCTACAAGGGTTGCGTACCTTATACTCAGAATCACCAAACGGTATTCGTTGAAGGTCATACAGGATTACGCACCAACTTCGGCACACCCCGATGAGGAGGTGGAAGAAATGTATGAGGATATATCTAGAGTCATGCATTCCTTCAAAACCCACTATACGGTGTTAATGGGAGACTTCAATGCAAAACTAGGCACAAGAGAGGACGGTGAGCTGAAGGTAGGGAAATTTGGGATAGGGCAACGGAACCCAAGGGGCCAGCAGCTAACCGACTTCATGGAGAAAGGGGACGCTTTATGATGAACTATTTCTTCCAGAAGCGGCCCCACAGGAAGTGGACCTGGTCGAGCCCCGACGGTTCGACAAAAATGAGATTGACTTCATTATGACGACCAGACGACAACTGTTCAGTGATGTCTCCGTGATCGCGAGGGTGAAAACTGGTAGCGATCACCGAATGGTTAGAGGCACACTGAACCGAAACGTTAAGTTGGAGAGGTCTCTTCTAATGAAGTCGACGCTCCGTCCCCCTCGTGTTCTGTTCCAAAGTCCCGAAACCTTTCAGCTCGAGTTACAAAACCGTTTTCAGTGCCTAGAAGACTGCAATGAAGTGGACGATATGAATGACAAGCTCGTGGAAACTGTCCATGCGGTCGGAGCTAAGTTCTACAAGACCCGCCGCAGAAGAACATAAAAACTCTTCGAACATACTCTTAATCTCATGGCTGTTAGACGGGAAATGAAGCTGCAGTCTTCAACAGATTTGACACCATACAGGCAAATGAACAGACAGATCTCCAAATGCATGCGGCGGGACTTACGCAACTTCAATACATCTTGTATTGAAGAAGCGATCGAGCGGAACCAAGGCTCCAAAGTCTCTCTCTGCCAGAAAGAGCCAACTGTCAAAGCTGAAGACCGAGTGTGGCAGCATCGTTTCCGGGACACCTGTGATTTTGAGTGAGATTGAGAGGTTCTATGGGTTCGTTGGAGCTACACGCAAGTGTAACGATCCAAGAACGAGTCTTATTCGACACTATTCCGATGATATCCCGGACGTGAGCGACCTTAGAATGACTCTCCAGCACCTTAAAAACGGCAAGGCTCCAGGTGAGGATGGAATTACAGCGGAGCTTCTGAAAGCCGGTGGAAAACTGGTACTTGAAGTCCTTCAGAAACTCTTTAATTCCGTTCTCCATGGCGGCACTACTCCTGAGGCGTGGAGCAGAAGTGCGGTGGTCTTGTTCTTCAAGAAAGGCGACAACGCTCTCTTGAAGAACTACAGACCAATTTCCCTTCTGAGCCGCGTCTACGTGCTATTTTCGAGAGTCATTACGAATCGTCTCGCACGCAGACTTGACGACTTCCAGCCTCCCGAACAAGCCGGTTTCCGAAAAGGCTTTAGTACGATAGACCACATACACACCCTTCGGCAAATTGTACATAAGACAGAGGAGTATAATCTGCCACTTTGCCTTGCGTATGTGGACTATGAGAAAGCCTTTGATTCCGTCGAAATGAGGGCGGTGTTGCAGTCCCTTCAGCGGTGCCATGTTGACTATCGGTATATCGAAGTGCTGAAGTGTTTGTACAGTAGGGCTACGATGGCTATCCGAGTACAGAATCAGAGCATGAAACCTATCCAACTGCAGAGAGGTGTATGACAGAGCGACGTTATATCCCCGAAACCCTTCACCGCTGCATTGGAAGACGTTTTTAAGCTACTGGACTGGAAAGGATACGGTATCAACATCAATGGCGAGTACATCACTCACCTTCGATTTGCCTACGATATATTCCTTATGGCAGAATCGCTGGAGGACCTAAGCACTATGCTCAATGACCTCAATAGTGTCTCCCGACGGATAGGTCTTAAGATGAACATGGACAAAACAAAGATCATGTTTAATGTCCGTGTCACACCTATGCCGGTACTTATTGGGAGCACTAAGCTCGAAGTAGTTGACGAGTATGTTTACCTGGGACAAATAGTCCGACTAGGTAAGTCCAACTTCGACCAAGAGGTCATTTGACGGATTCAACTCGGCTGGGTAGCGTTCGGGAAACTACGACACATCTTCTCGTCAGGTATACTTCAAAACCTGAAAACGAGATAATGGATCTGAGACTTTGTCCTTCACTGCTGGCCGTATGAGGAAGCTCAAGGTCAGCGAGCTATGGAAAGGGCTACGCTCGGGGTTTATCTGCGTGGTAAATTTAGAAATGAGGAAATGGATGGCCAGCCCATTGCCACTTCAGCTAACTAGCTGAAGTGTCAATGGGCCGGCCATATAGCTCGAAGAAGCAACAACCGATTGGGAAGAAAGGTTCTCGAGTGGCAGCAGTAGTGTACTGTAATGTAGCGCAGTACAGTGTAGTGTGGTGCAGCCTGCGGCGTGCAGTACTCACCGGGCGGCGTGCCGCAGCCGCGCGGCGTCGTACACCAGCAGCAGCGAGGCGGCTGTGTACTGTAGTGTACTGTAATGTAGCGCAGTACAGTGTAGTGTGGTGCAGCCTGCGGCGTGCAGTACTCACCGGGCGGCGTGCCGCAGCCGCGCGGCGTCGTACACCAGCAGCAGCGAGGCGGCTGTGTACTGTAGTGTACTGTAATGTAGCGCAGTACAGTGTAGTGTGGTGCAGCCTGCGGCGTGCAGTACTCACCGGGCGGCGTGCCGCAGCCGCGCGGCGTCGTACACCAGCAGCAGCGAGGCGGCTGTGTACTGTAGTGTACTGTAATGTAGCGCAGTACAGTGTAGTGTGGTGCAGCCTGCGGCGTGCAGTACTCACCGGGCGGCGTGCCGCAGCCGCGCGGCGTCGTACACCAGCAGCAGCGAGGCGGCTGTGTACTGTAGTGTACTGTAATGTAGCGCAGTACAGTGTAGTGTGGTGCAGCCTGCGGCGTGCAGTACTCACCGGGCGGCGTGCCGCAGCCGCGCGGCGTCGTACACCAGCAGCAGCGAGGCGGCTGTGTACTGTAGTGTACTGTAATGTAGCGCAGTACAGTGTAGTGTGGTGCAGCCTGCGGCGTGCAGTACTCACCGGGCGGCGTGCCGCAGCCGCGCGGCGTCGTACACCAGCAGCAGCGAGGCGGCTGTGTACTGTAGTGTACTGTAATGTAGCGCAGTACAGTGCAGTGTGGTGCAGCCTGCGGCGTGCAGTACTCACCGGGCGGCGTGCCGCAGCCGCGCGGCGTCGTACACCAGCAGCAGCGAGGCGGCTGTGTACTGTAGTGTACTGTAATGTAGCGCAGTACAGTGTAGTGTGGTGCAGCCTGCGGCGTGCAGTACTCACCGGGCGGCGTGCCGCAGCCGCGCGGCGTCGTACACCAGCAGCAGCGAGGCGGCTGTGTACTGTAGTGTACTGTAATGTAGCGCAGTACAGTGTAGTGTGGTGCAGCCTGCGGCGTGCAGTACTCACCGGGCGGCGTGCCGCAGCCGCGCGGCGTCGTACACCAGCAGCAGCGAGGCGGCTGTGTACTGTAGTGTACTGTAATGTAGCGCAGTACAGTGTAGTGTGGTGCAGCCTGCGGCGTGCAGTACTCACCGGGCGGCGTGCCGCAGCCGCGCGGCGTCGTACACCAGCAGCAGCGAGGCGGCTGTGTACTGTAGTGTACTGTAATGTAGCGCAGTACAGTGTAGTGTGGTGCAGCCTGCGGCGTGCAGTACTCACCGGGCGGCGTGCCGCAGCCGCGCGGCGTCGTACACCAGCAGCAGCGAGGCGGCTGTGTACTGTAGTGTACTGTAATGTAGCGCAGTACAGTGTAGTGTGGTGCAGCCTGCGGCGTGCAGTACTCACCGGGCGGCGTGCCGCAGCCGCGCGGCGTCGTACACCAGCAGCAGCGAGGCGGCTGTGTACTGTAGTGTACTGTAATGTAGCGCAGTACAGTGTAGTGTGGTGCAGCCTGCGGCGTGCAGTACTCACCGGGCGGCGTGCCGCAGCCGCGCGGCGTCGTACACCAGCAGCAGCGAGGCGGCTGTGTACTGTAGTGTACTGTAATGTAGCGCAGTACAGTGTAGTGTGGTGCAGCCTGCGGCGTGCAGTACTCACCGGGCGGCGTGCCGCAGCCGCGCGGCGTCGTACACCAGCAGCAGCGAGGCGGCTGTGTACTGTAGTGTACTGTAATGTAGCGCAGTACAGTGTAGTGTGGTGCAGCCTGCGGCGTGCAGTACTCACCGGGCGGCGTGCCGCAGCCGCGCGGCGTCGTACACCAGCAGCAGCGAGGCGGCTGTGTACTGTAGTGTACTGTAATGTAGCGCAGTACAGTGTAGTGTGGTGCAGCCTGCGGCGTGCAGTACTCACCGGGCGGCGTGCCGCAGCCGCGCGGCGTCGTACACCAGCAGCAGCGAGGCGGCTGTGTACTGTAGTGTACTGTAATGTAGCGCAGTACAGTGTAGTGTGGTGCAGCCTGCGGCGTGCAGTACTCACCGGGCGGCGTGCCGCAGCCGCGCGGCGTCGTACACCAGCAGCAGCGAGGCGGCTGTGTACTGTAGTGTACTGTAATGTAGCGCAGTACAGTGTAGTGTGGTGCAGCCTGCGGCGTGCAGTACTCACCGGGCGGCGTGCCGCAGCCGCGCGGCGTCGTACACCAGCAGCAGCGAGGCGGCTGTGTACTGTAGTGTACTGTAATGTAGCGCAGTACAGTGTAGTGTGGTGCAGCCTGCGGCGTGCAGTACTCACCGGGCGGCGTGCCGCAGCCGCGCGGCGTCGTACACCAGCAGCAGCGAGGCGGCTGTGTACTGTAGTGTACTGTAATGTAGCGCAGTACAGTGTAGTGTGGTGCAGCCTGCGGCGTGCAGTACTCACCGGGCGGCGTGCCGCAGCCGCGCGGCGTCGTACACCAGCAGCAGCGAGGCGGCTGTGTACTGTAGTGTACTGTAATGTAGCGCAGTACAGTGTAGTGTGGTGCAGCCTGCGGCGTGCAGTACTCACCGGGCGGCGTGCCGCAGCCGCGCGGCGTCGTACACCAGCAGCAGCGAGGCGGCTGTGTACTGTAGTGTACTGTAATGTAGCGCAGTACAGTGTAGTGTGGTGCAGCCTGCGGCGTGCAGTACTCACCGGGCGGCGTGCCGCAGCCGCGCGGCGTCGTACACCAGCAGCAGCGAGGCGGCTGTGTACTGTAGTGTACTGTAATGTAGCGCAGTACAGTGTAGTGTGGTGCAGCCTGCGGCGTGCAGTACTCACCGGGCGGCGTGCCGCAGCCGCGCGGCGTCGTACACCAGCAGCAGCGAGGCGGCTGTGTACTGTAGTGTACTGTAATGTAGCGCAGTACAGTGTAGTGTGGTGCAGCCTGCGGCGTGCAGTACTCACCGGGCGGCGTGCCGCAGCCGCGCGGCGTCGTACACCAGCAGCAGCGAGGCGGCTGTGTACTGTAGTGTACTGTAATGTAGCGCAGTACAGTGTAGTGTGGTGCAGCCTGCGGCGTGCAGTACTCACCGGGCGGCGTGCCGCAGCCGCGCGGCGTCGTACACCAGCAGCAGCGAGGCGGCTGTGTACTGTAGTGTACTGTAATGTAGCGCAGTACAGTGTAGTGTGGTGCAGCCTGCGGCGTGCAGTACTCACCGGGCGGCGTGCCGCAGCCGCGCGGCGTCGTACACCAGCAGCAGCGAGGCGGCTGTGTACTGTAGTGTACTGTAATGTAGCGCAGTACAGTGTAGTGTGGTGCAGCCTGCGGCGTGCAGTACTCACCGGGCGGCGTGCCGCAGCCGCGCGGCGTCGTACACCAGCAGCAGCGAGGCGGCCGCCAGGCGCAGCGAGCGTGGCGCCGCGGCCCAGCGCTGCAGCGCCCACAGCGCGGCGAGCTGCTGCAGCAGCAGCGCTCTGCACGCAGCACCGCTCACGCCACACGTGTTCAGGTAGTTACGGATTGCTGCCGGACAAGTATACGCTATACAGTATACACACTTGGTGTTAAATCTTATTTTGAATCTAGGAGTTCGTCTGTATTTGTCTTATAATGTAAAAGCTATATATACAGGGTTATTTTTCAAAGAGTAGCCAAATTTTATATTGAAGTTCAAATAAATTATTTTATACCGATATTACTTTTTGCGGTCTTTGAAAATACGAGTAAATAAAGCTTCTACTGTTGTTGTTTATGGGCAACAACTACTCTTACGCGCGCTCCTGTTTGTGTGATTCATTTCAGGTTTTCGTTTCTCAAGTTTTTGCCTACTATTGGTACTTCAAAATAGAATCCGGTTGTATTGTGGGACGTGAATAACGAACACACCACATGTTAGCTATGAGCATTATAACGTATAGACAGTTATGGAAACGTCTATTTACTTTATAACGTATAGATAGTTATACATAACGCTCATAACTGTCTATTTCTTATAACGATCCGCAACGCATAGAGTACCTTTGAACCGCAACGCTGCAACGTGACAGTTATACGAGTACATAACGCTCATAACAGTCTATTTCTTATAACGATCCGCAACGCACAGAGTACCTTTGAACCGCAACGCTGCAACGTTGCGTTGGCTTGGAATCGTGATTCGTGATATTAAAACATCACGTACTCGCCGCCGTACAAAAACAAATGTTATGCCGTGTACGATAAGAATGAAACTGCAGCGGGGCTCATATTGAAACGTGTAGGTGAGCGAAGCGAAATTCGAGAAATAAGTTTATTTCTTTCTTTTTCATATAGACACTTGTATAACTATTTCAAATTGTCAATATGTCTTTTTTAATAAAGCAATTTTAAACAGCGTGCTGTTTATTATAAAATTCTACACACTAAATACGGGTTTTTGCCATATATTGAAAAATAACACTTGTTCCCCAAAATGTAAGGTTAAACTGCATTACCTTCTGTTCTTCAACTTTTGAACTTGAGTTTTAAGTCTAAATTTTGGGTGTAATATTATTGTTTAAAAACTTTGCTTCATTTGCTAATTACAAGTTTATTTCGAAGCATAAAGCACGCATAGTGATATTAGTGTTCATAAAAGAAGTCTAAAACAAACAAAAAGCTTTTTTTTAAATAAAAAGCGCGTTGTAATATTTGTAAAAACGGATTTAGTTTTCAGACGACTTCAGGTTATCTGAAGTTACATTTACGGCAGCGATATATAGAAGCGTACACACAAGTTTCGTTAGAACAGCAAATGATTGCTAGATCTTCGAGACCTGTGAACACTTTGGGTGTACTTGCGTCAGCACTAACTTAAAAGACAACTTTTTGAGCCAGCCTTCGATGTCAAATCCAACTTCCGTGATGCGATCAGTTGTACTGTACCGCAGTCTCAACACAAATAAGGAAAAATGGATGCCTTAATTCCTAGAAAGACGTCAAAAGATCAAAAGTACGAAGTAAAATTAATTTCAGCAACTAAATTGGTATTTACTTAGTGAAACTAAAATAATTTTGATGATAACTGTTCTATGAAGGTATATTGTTAAGTTGCGGTTACATAGAAAATAGACAGTTATGAATGTAGATAGTTATGATAACGTTATCCATTGTACCATAACGATAACGTTACGTTATTTAGAAAAGACATAACGACACACCGCTACCACATGTTTAGGCCAAATATAGGCATTTGAAGTTGCATCCAATAGCGTGACTCGGTGCATCGCCCGATGGTGTGAGGTGACATGAACGCCGCCGCCGGGGGGGCGGCGGTGTGCCGCTTCTCGGCGTTCGGTCGGGTAAGCCGACATCAGTAGCTTGACCGCAGCGGCTCTGTCGACTAGTGTATTACCATGCGACCGCTGGATCGGTTGCGCGCGGCCAGTTTTTGGTTTTGGTGGTCTAGAATTTGAGTAATTGTGCGCGTCTAATTTACTATTGAATATTTGGGTTTCGTGTAGACCGCCTCGAATTGGTTTGTCTAATTTGTACGTTTCGTGACAGGAGGCTTGTATTGAATTTGAGTGATTAAAGTAACTTCGTTTGCAAGTAATTTACGTCAATTTGTATAGTGATTGCATTTTGAAGCGCATTTGCAATCTTTAATTTGCTTGAGTGACCTGTTAATATCGTACGAAAGAATCTTAGTTGTTGTGTGGAACGCGGAACTTTGTGACCCGAGAGAAGGTCGCGTTCGGTTTCTAGAAATAATTTGTTGATAAGTCAACCCGGAACCTTGAATATTGAACTTTGATCGACCGTTCATTAGTTGTGCCGTGTGTCACGTATTTGAGTACGATTAACGAGGCTTATCCTTGAGTTTGAAGTTAATTAAATGTACAATAAAGTTGATAGATTGAAATAGTGTACAATAAAGTTGATAAACTGAAATAGTGAAATGAAGGCAGAAATTTTCAATTGGTGATCTACGACTGGAGGAAGCGCACATTGGGAGAACATCAGCTCCAGTGGATCTTCTGTCCGATTAAATCGGGCCGTCAGGTCACATATATAAACACTATTACACACTACTTACATACACCTCACTTATCACCTGACTGGTACCCTGTGGTCAACCCTACCTCCTGAAATAGGTAAGTTCTTGCTTATTTGTCAGCCGTTTTTTGAACATTTATCCATAGGCCGTTGGGCCCCGTCCTCTATTGCCCGTCGATGGGATTACTCATGGGCCCTAGGCCAATCAACCTTTGCCCAACGGGGCAACTCAGGGCGTAAACACCACATATTAAATAATCGTTTATTCACAACGTAAATTCAAAGTAGTGTAGCAGTCGAACGATCGGATCGACTGGCGAAGCGAGAAAAACCAAATCAGTTGCTCCCATGCAGCCAAGGGTTTCCGAAGATTGTGAGACGGTCGAACAGGCCAGGCCGTGCCGCTACACTTCGTTATACATAGACGAACACGTTTTCTTAATATATTTTTTAGAACCACGTTCTTGAGCACTTTTAACTTCCGTGAACACAGCAATAATTTTACTGTGGCGGTCTTCATAACTTTGGGCATCTTTGACGTCAACACGACTCTTTATACATAGATAAAAGACTAACGGTGAAAGTTCCAGCGAATTTACAGACCGTAGTATAGGGCCTCCGTATGTAATCCACCTATCTTCATATTCACTATTTAAGTTATCGCTCACTACACTTGAATAGTTTGATTATAGTTTTTGTCCAATAAAAAAATAAAAATTATGAGTAAATTCGGATGCAATCGAAAACTTTTTCGGTCAAATAAAATCATACAATTTTAGGGATCATAATTCGACTTGCCACTATTTCATAAATGCTTTTAAATCTTTATTAATTACAGGATTCATTAAGTTTTACCGCTCATCTTTTAATTGTGAAGATGATGTTAGCGCACAATAAAGAACCTGTTTAAAGGACATGAAAGTGAAGTGAGTAACGGAAGTGGTGAAAGTGGTGAATCTTATATTGATACTTATCCATTAATTCTAAATTTGTAAACAAAATTATTGTAAAGTTAAAGTGAGGACTGCATGATAATTAAGTTATTAGTTATAGTTTTTTAATTATAGTTTTTTTTAATAATCTATATATTAATAAGTTAATTATTAAATTTGTAAACAAAAGTATTTAAAAAAAAATTAATGTGTAGTCTTCGCGTTAATATAAGAAGTCATTAATAAAAAATATTAAATTTCAACATTGTTTCATGTATTTACTTCGTTTTATTTTCAATATAATAAAATTAATTTTGCAAGTGGCTATTATTTGGGACATTTTTTGCCTGGTGTAGCGGCTTCATATTAAAAAAAAAAAAGAAATGTCATATATCATTTTGCTACAACCAATCAGGACGCAAAAGCTAAGTCGAGTAAGTTTAGTTCGTGAAATGTTCGTCTGTTTCGGGTATAATCTACTAGTTAGTCTGTGAGAAAATTCCAGTCGTGCATCGCAGCACTGATACACACTTTTTTTTTAAATAGGATAAGGGTGAGTGTGATCGAGCACACAGTCCACCTGATTTTTTCTCAACTAAGAATCGTTGTCATGCTGAGGACTCAGATGGAATACGAGTACCTCGTTTCTTTCTCGCCCTGTAAACAGGGTCTCCAGTTGTCTACACTCACCATACGAAACACAGCAGCATTAAGATGCTGCTGTGTTTCTATTTTACGCTGGTATTCTGTGAGAGCGTGGTCCTTCCCCGGTCGATCGGACCCATTTTTGCTACAACCATAACATAGCTGCAACGTGACTCTACCACGGAAAAAGTGTTTGTAGTTGGTTGCAATGTCACTTACCATCAGGTCAGTAAGTCCGTTTGTCAAATTTTCATAAAATAATTTAAACATTAAAAAAATTGTACATCATCATCATCATCATTACAGCTCTTCACAAGTCCACTGCTGAACATAGGCCTCCCCCAAAGAATGCCACAAAGCACGGTCCTGAGCCACCTGCATCCATCGACTTCCTGCATATCTTACCAGGTCGTCACTCCATCTAGTGGGGGGACGCCCTACACTTAAAAAAATTGTACAACAGACTTCAATATAAATTATTAAGAATAACTCAAAAACTATTGATCAAACCTTGATGAAATTCTGGACCACATGAGAAGCACCAGCTTTCAAATAAAAAAAGAATCATCGAAATCGAGTCACCCAGAAAAAAGTTATGAGGCAACACACATAAAAAAATCACACAGTCGAATTGAGTACCTCCTCCTTTTTGAAGTCGGTAGAAAAGGAAAAACATTTTTTTTTTATAGGAGAGGGGCAAACGAGCATGCGGCTCACCTGATGGTAAGTGACTACCGCCGCCCACGAACAACCGCAACACCAGGGGAATTGCGGATGCGGTCAAGTGGAAGGAGCTGGCACTGGGGTGCCCCAGCCCAGAGATGAGAACAGTATTCCATGTGAGGCCGAACTTACGCTTTGTAAAGTTGCAAGCGATGTACCGGCATGAAATATTGTCTCGCTCTGCTGAGCACGCCAAGCTTTTTAGAGGCCAGTTTCCTTCCCTTCCAAGTGACCACGAAACTGCACACTATTTGATATGTCGACGCCGAGGATTCCGATGCTAGCTAAGGCAGCATGGGGAATGCCTTGAAACTGAGGAGATACGACAAAGGGGTTCTTTTTAACGGTAAAGGCGCAAATTTGTGTCTTCTGGGGATTAAACTGGACTAGATTTAGTCACCCCCAATCCGAGACTTTGTCCAGCAAAGACTCGACTTCAGACACAATTTTATTCTGGTACTCGGCGACGTTTTCCCGAGAAATATTGGCACGGCTGGTGTATAGAGCATCACCAGTGCTGTCATCCGCATAGCAATGAATGCTACCGGTTTGCAACATATCATTGATATGCAGAAGAAACAGCCTTGGTGATAGAACGCAGCCTTGTGGAACACCAGCGTTAATAGGCTTGTAGTCGGAGCATGCACCGTCCACAACGACCTTGATGTGCCGATCTGCAAGGAAGCTGGTGATCCAATTGCATAATTTCTGAACAGAAATTTGGAGAACAAGGAGGTTATGGCGATAGGCCTGTAGTTGGACGGGTCTGAGCGGTCGCCTTTTTTAGGGATCGGGTGGACCAAAGCTGTCTTCCATGAATTCGGGACTACGACTTGGGAGTAGGAGCACCGGAAAAGACGCGTTAAAACCGGTGCCAACTCCGGAGCACACGTCTTCAGCACAATGGGAGGGACTTCATCAGGCCCACACGACTTGCTGACGTCCAGGGAGAAGAGTGCTTTAAGAAGCGAGCGCTGTGTAAATCGCACATCTCTCTCAAATTCTCAATTCTCAAAGCAACTCACCAGTAATGACCATTTCTCCCTGCAACTTCTTCCCGTACTCCTTGTTGTACTTTTGCAGTTTGCCCGTGGACAACTTGTACACCTGGTAGCCCGGGATGCAGAACCCGAACTCCTGCTTGCACAGTTTATATTTGTTATCTTCCTTTTTTCTCTTCTCCGCGGTGGCTAATGGATCCCAAGTTCTTTTGCCTGGAAGAGTTTTTTTTATAAAACTGAAATTGAAACTTTTTTGAAACTTTTTTTTTTAATTCAATATAGATTATAAATAATACTTATTGAAAGTCACTCTTTTGTTTGATTACCACTGGTTCGGAAAAAACCTCTGTCCTGGGAAGAACCAGCAAGAAACCCAGCGGGACTTTTTTTTTAAATGAAAAACAAAGGAGAAAAAGGAGACTACTACGTTGTCAACCCTGAGAATATTTTAGTTATTAGTTAGAACCATGGAATTCCTTCTGTAAGTATGTTTTATTAACCGATTTCAAAAAGGAGGAGGTTCTCAATTCGAGTGTAGTTTTTTTATATTTGTTTGATTTTGATTGTTTGATTGATTTGATTTTTACCCGATTTTCATGATTATTTCCCCCATTTTTATTTATCCCATTAAATATTGAAGAAAAAATTAATTGCCCAAGGGGAAAAAGTTTCAAATTGGACTATTGTTTATGGAATTTCATATGATATCTTCGCAGATTGAGAACCGATTTTAATTATTCTTATTTTAATTAAATAGGTTATACTTTAAGGGTGGTTCCATATAAATTTAGAGAAAAAATCCACCCCTAAGGTTAGCCTAATAAATAAATTATTTTTTAGCAATTTGATGTCGGTTTTTACTTTTTTGTTAAAAGTTATAATTATTTCACAACTTTTTATTAAATAACAGTGGTTGTATCTACACAGACAGTTTTAAAATGTCAAATTCTCTTTCGAGTGTTAATTAAAAATACAGTAAAACTCGCTTAATACGATTTCTCGTATAATACGCCATTTTATATCAGTCCCTGCAACTTTAGGCATGTTTCCATACATTTTAACATGATTAATACGATTTTTCATCCCGTCTAATACGCCATCTGTGCAACACCCGAGCCGAGCGCGTATAATTCTCTTCATTGATAATTGCCACGCTCACCATAAAAATTTTTGGCTAAAGAACATCAAGTTTATTTTCTTACCTCCAAATGCGAAATGCAAATTGCAACCGATGGATCAGGATATTATAAAAGTCCTTAAACAAAGCTATAGAACGCGTTTGATACATAGGCTGCACTAAAAGTATCGGGAATGGAATATTTCCACTGTTCTTGTCATATTAAAATCTTTTTAATTGAAAAGTCCTTGATTTTTTAAAATCGAATACCATTTATTTATTTCTTGGTATATATTTAGGTCTTGTCACAAGGTTTTGTCAAACTTGTTTAGTCGTTGAGAAAATGGAATTGACTCGAGAAAATTCAAGAGCGATGATTTATTATGACTTTCAAAGTGGTTTAACACAAAAACAGTGTGTTGACCGGATGATTTCTGCATTTGGTGATGAAGCCATCCAAAACCACAATTTATCGCTGGATTTCAACGTGGACGTGTCAAGCTCAGTGATGATCCCCGTCAAGGTCGTCCAAAAACTGCAGTCACCCAAGAAAACGTTGATGCTGTGCGTAAGCTGATTGAGGAAGATCGACATGTGACATACCGCGAAATTCAGGCAACTTTAGACATTGACATGAGTCAAATACAAATAATCTTGCATGAACAATTAGGTGTAAAAAAGTTGTTTTCCCGATGGATACCGCATTCTCTCTGTGAAGAGCAAAAAGCGGCTCGCGTTACTTGGTGCGTCAGAACTCTCGAAAGATTCCACGCTGGATCCTCAAATGCTGTATACAACATCGTATCAGGTGACGAATCCTGGATATACGCGTACGAACCCGAAACAAAAAACCAGTCACGAGTTTGGGTGTTCGAAAATGAGTTAAAGCCAACAAAAATTGTTCGTTCACGGAGTGTTGCAAAAAAAAATGGTGGCCACGTTTGTCTCCAAAACCAGCCATGTTACGACTATTCCTCTTGAGGGACAAAGAACAGTTAATGCAGAATGGTATGCTAGCATTTGTTTGCCACAGGTCGTTTCTGAACTCCGTAAAGAGAACTGCAACCGCCGCATCATCCTGCATCACGACAATGCGAGTTCTCACACCGCACACAGAACAAAAGAGTTTTTAGAGCAAGAAAACATAGAATTATTAGACCATCCGCCGTACAGTCCCGACCTAAGCCCTAATGATTTCTATACTTTCCCTAAAATAAAGAATAAATTGCGTAGACAGAGATTTTCATCACCTGAAGAAGCTGTGGACGCCTACAAAACGGCCATTTTGGAGACCCCAACTTCCGAATGGAATGGTTGCTTCAATGATTGGTTCCATCGTATGGGAAAATGTGTCAAATTTCGCGGAGAATACTTCGAAAAGCAATAAATACATTTTTAAATAGTAATGTTGTGTCACTTCCTTGATTCCCGAAATTTTCAGTGCCGCCCTCGTATATCACTATTGTAAAGAAATGGAAAACCATGACAGCAAACGACCCTTGACTGTGCATGATGCAATCCTAAAAATTGCAGTGGCATGGCAAGCAATTAAGCCTGAAACCATACAAAATTGTTTCAACAGTTTTCCGAAGTAACGAAGCTGATGTCGTGTTGGAAGGAGATCTCGCGATACTGTAGGGTTGGATATTCTTCCATTGATGACAATGTTGCACCGTACGCAACCCGTTCAATCGAAGATCTTATTGAAGATGTGAATAACACCCAAAAAGAGGTCTTTAGTGATGACGATGACGATGAAGGAGGGTCAACTTCCGATTTTGTCAAACGCATAGGCATTATCAGCAGTAAACGGTTTAAGGCGCTATGTATCTATTGTTGCAACTTGCTTGTCGGTTTCGGGGAAAGTGAAGACGTACTGCAAAAGTTAAGTTATATTGTCATTACTAATGCATCAAAATCTCTTTTTCAAACCAAAATAAGCGATTACTTTAAGTAATGTCATTATAATAGTATTTAACTGTGATGTAACGTATTTAAATACATATACATATTATGTATAATATTATACCTTTCTGAAAAATTATAAATATACCTATAATTCAATACCTACACAAAATTCGTTAATGATCGTCTTAAGCGAGTTTTCTGTATACCGTAATTTATTTAAATGACAGGCTAGGGATTATAGAACGACTGACGAAAAAGATTTTCTGTAAAAAGTAGAGGAGTGTAAGGGACATACAAGGGAAAGGTTTACAAATACATTGAATGCGGAAATATTTTAACTGCAAATGGTTATTGCTCCGAGGGTTGCAATAGCCATATTTACCATCAGCGTGACTGCAAGTTCAACCCTAGATTACCCTATTACAAAAAACAGGACAAGTACTTAAAACTTTGTCATACCAATCTTGACATCCATTATGCAAGGCTCCAGCATCCTTTCAGTGAGATCCTCCAGTATTATGTAGTCCTGCTCGTGGCCATTGTACGTGAACTTTTTCACTCCGAAGTATTTGGGCACAAACTTGCGAAGCTGTATCAGGTCCGGGTCGCTGGTGGTAGCAAGACGCTCGTAAAATTCAACCTCGCGCTTTTGAGACTCCTTGAGGATCGGCTTTAGGACTCTCCCATTATTGCATTGGAGAAGACCTGACAATTGAGAATGCAAACAATGAGGATGTTTACTGGGAAATTTTTACTTATGTATTTAAAGAATTATTAACAAAATTACAATTTAATAATGGTTATAAATTATAAGGTCGGGGGAAAAAAAAATCTTCGTATTTTATATAAAATTCAAGATTTTGGTCAGAATTTAATTACATTTAGTTATAATAAATATGTGCTATTTTGTTCGATAATTTGTTACCATCTTGTAGGTAGTGACATAATCCAGTTGCTGTAGAAATCTTGGGATTTTTGATAAAAAAAAGCGACAAGTAGTTTTGACAGTACTCTCTTGATGTTAACCGAACACTACCCAAAGGATTCTGAAGAGACCGAAACAGGTGAAAATCTGAGAGTGCTAGGTTAGGACTATATGGTGGACGCATTAACACTTCCCAACCAAGTTCTCTCAATTTTTGCTGAGTGGCCAAAGATGTGTGTGGAGTGGTATTTCATCATGATAACGCCCGCGTTATCATGATGAAATACCACTCCTTTTCTGTTGATGTATTCCGGCTATTTTTTCTCAATTACTTGCTTGAGTCTCATTAGTTGTTGGCAGTAGAGATCCGAATCGATGGTTTGGCCTGGCGGTAAAAACTTATAATAAGCGATGCCCTCCCAATCCCACCATACACACAGCATCAGCATATTGCGTGTTAATCCGGGTTTCGCTACAGTGTGTGGAGCTTGACTACCCTTTGACCATGACCTTTTTCGCACGTTCTTGTCGTAGACGATCAATCATCACTTTTCATCACCAGTGATCAATCTTTTCAAAAATGGTTCGATTTCATTACGTTTCAATAGATAATCGCAAATGAGTACACGATTCATTAGGTTTCTTTCAGTGAGCTCACGTGGTACCACAATATCGAGCTTTTTTGTATAGAGTTTTTCAAATGGGTCTAGACTGTTTTGTAATTAATTCTCAATTCCTCGGCTATGGGAGAACTACTAATATGCCGATCTTGTTCCACTTTTTCAATAATGGCATTAATTTTATCCGTATGAGGGCGACCAGAGCGACCTGCTTTTTGACATCAAAATTCCCGGACTGAAAACGCTTGATAAAACTTTGTGCTACTCTTACTGACACTGCCACTCCATAAACGTCACAAATTTTTTTCGCAGCTTGAGTCGCATTTTTCCAATTTTTGTAATAAAACTTTAGAATGTATCGAATTTCTTCGTTAGATTCACTCATTTCGGCGGACAGAAAAACAATTGAAAAATGGCGGGAAAATGTTTTTTACTGTTTATTTTTCTTTTTATTAATGCCATATATATATATATATATATATATATATATTGATATTAAAACCAGCCAGATACAAACAGTACAACCAGACATTTTTCTTCAATTTTATACAAACAAAATACGAAGATACTTTTTTCCCGGCCTATTATAATAATTCCAACTCTAGAGTTGGCCGTACAGTGGCGAAGTAAGAATGTCCACTACCCCAAGTTATCCCGTGGGAGTCGTAAGAGGCGACAGAGTGAAAGAGAATACCACATAGAAGAGCAGCACCTTCCTAATGTCTTGGAGTTGGAGCGGATCTAAGAGTGCTTACGCTGAACTACGTGGTAGGTCCGGTGTGCTATCTGTTACTTAAGAAGCAAGATAAGGCATTCAAGGTTGGTACGTGCATTCTAATCCACTTTCCTCGGTCTGCTTATTGTAAGTACCAATACAGTCCACTAAATCTTTATTGGTTGACGGTTCTTTGAACTATATGGCCGGCCACCCAATGCCACTTCAAATCCAGGCTATGTCGGTTACTGTGGTTCTACTGCGGATATCCTCATTTCGAGTGGCAACCTCGGACCAGTATACGAAGTGTAGGACAACCCTCCACTAAATGAAATGACAATCTAATAAAATGCAGGAAGCTGACGGATGCAGGTAGCTCGGGACTAGGGTTGCTAGCTCCTGTTTTAAGTTTTAGAGGAGTTGATAAGATTAAAAATAAAAAGAAAGAATATCATATTGTTTAAAAAAGCCCTTAAGGCATCAGCAGTAATATTTATTAATAAAAAAATACAATATTAATACGCAAAGACGTAAACAATGTTAATACGCACGGATAGTACGTTACACCTACTATCCGTGCGGTTAAAGAATGGGATTGAAAATGTCGTCGCCTCTATTCACTTCTCGCTCACACACTGTCGCTATCTATACTCACAGCCGGTAAAGACTAAAAAAATATGTTGCGATATGCGTTTTACGTACGTTCTATAACTCCAAATTGTAATTGGAATCAATGATAACAAAATGCCACAAACTACAAAAAAAAATTCAGCCCAGTTTCGTTAATTTGTGAGCTACTACGAGTTTGAGACGACGACGTTTTACGAGCGTGTGAGAGTTTTCTTCATAATTATTGTTGATTTTGTTTGTTAGTAATTTTGTATAAAATAAATTAATTATAATAGAAAAATTTATAATATAAAATTTTAATGATGATCTTAAGTCTAAATCACGCCACATTAATAGATCCCACCCAGGCGAAGCCAGAGCGCGTCGCTAGTTATAAATATTATTTTAAAATTAATGTACTTACTTGCGTATACAATTCTTTTCAAATATTGTCCAATTATTTTTTTAAAAAAAACCGAATAACCGAATAATATAACCTTATAACGATATGCCGTTATTAGCGGGTTTGCGCTCTTGATACTGTTCATGTTGACGGTACGGGATCGATGACTCGCCATTTCTAATCCCATTCTTTATCCGTATGGACTGTAGTCTGTCCCTCGCGCGTCACCTCAGTGATTATTAAACTTTTTGACTAGCAATATTTTAATAGAGGGAATGATGAATACGCGCGATATTGCCCTGGTCTCTTTAAAGATTTCAAATTATAGGACAAGGTCATTTTCGGGTCTGAAATAGAGGAATTACTTTAAAATAAAGGCGTCTGGCAACCCTACTCAGGACCGTGCTTTGTGGCATTACTTGGAGGAGGCCATTGAGTTATATATACTACGTACTAGAGAAGCCATTCCGATGTTACTACTATGTTCAACTGAACTGTACTATGTTCAACTGAACTGTAGTGCAATCCATACAAACTAAATATTGCGTAAATTGAAGAATTGTGAATTCCATAATATAATTATTAATACATTTTATTTAGAAATATGTTTGTTTAGATTAAATTAAGATATTTTATATTAAATTCTTATATTTATTTTATATTAATATCTTATTTTATATCAAATGAAAGTCTTCGCGCATGCGTGACTACTACTCCCGCGCATGCGCGAAGACATAGAGAAGGACACAATTTTTGTTTGGAATGACTTCTCTAGTAGTCTAGTACGTAGTACGTATAACTCAATGGGGGAGGCCTATATTATTATTTTTATATCCTCTTTTTTTTGTTTTGTTTATTCATTTTCTTGCTTTTATTTTTTTTATTCGTATTAATTTTGTTTATTAATTTGTGACTGTAATATGAAGTGTCGGGATAAATGTCTTTATGTCTTTTATGCCTATGTTCAGCAGTGAACATGTAAAGGGCCGTTATAAAATCTTTATCGAAAGAACTACTAATATATTATACCTGTGTATTTTGTGTCCTCGGTAGACTGATGACCGGCCACTTGCAGAGCGTAAGCATGGACTTCGTCTGGGTCATTTGGAAAGGCGAAGGGCTTCGCCGACATCTCGTCGGCTTGCGGTCGCAATCCGTAATGAACCTGTGAATAATGTTCTTATAAGGAATGTAATTTAGGCCCGGTCCGGTTCCTACATTCAAAAACGTTTCGTTTGCCGTAACGATTCGTTTTATTAGGTTCATACGAGGTGTATGTAGAAACAGTTTATATTACAAACATTCATTCAACAATTACATAAGTTGACTAGGTGACTTAAAATGAAAACGTTTAAACAGTTCATAAATAGTTGCATATATTCACTTTATTTATTGCTAAACGGCTCGTAAAAGAAAAAACATTTTTTCAATACAGTAACCAAGCATGAGTAATAAATGATTGAGCTCAGTTTCCATGCGCGCTGTGAAATTTGAAGCTAGTGTGTTATATTTTTTAATAAGACTAATTGTTCCCCACGGGTTCGTCCGCGTGGAATTTATTACTCGTACAATTGGATTTTATGGGTTTTAATTTTTTACGTGGGACCCTAATTCTTTTTCTAAAATAAAAGTAGCAATTAGTTAGTAGTTAGCCAGAATTTTTTTTGTTATAAGTACCGCTATAAGTTCATATGCATTTAGAAAATAATAATAATAATAGTACCCACTTCCTCATATCATCTCGTGGGTGTCGTAAGAGGCGACAGTGGGAAAGAAACGAGGATGTGGTCACCAGCGTCTTCCTAACAACAAGTAGAAAACAAAGAACTGTAGTTGCCAACCCACCTGCCAAGGTTAGCAACTATGACAAATATTCCCCTTATGAGAGGGATCTATGGGGAGGCCTATGTTCAGCAGTGGACTTTGAGAGGCTATAACGAAGTTAATGTTTTAATATATTAAAACCTATACTTATATATTTTTACGTGGTAGAGCCATACTGCAGCTATATTAGTAGTAGGTAGCACGAATGGGTCAGCTTGACCGGGGAAGGACCACGCTCTCACAGAATACCAACATAAAATAGCAGATTAATGCATTGTTTCGTATGATGAGTGTAGAGAACCGGAGACTCTTTCACTGGAAACGAGGCATTCCATCTTAGTCCTCACGGGTGATAACGTATCTGCATTTTGATTCGTACAAGTCTATTGGCCGCAGCAACCACTTACCATCAAGTGTACTGTGCGCTCGTTTGACACCGTTATCCCATTAAAAAAACTCAACGTTTACTCTTAACGTAATTTATTATCTTACAGCTTAATGCTGCTGTGTTTGGTATGGTAAGTGTAGAGAACTGGAGACCCTTGTTATTGGAAACGAGGTATTCCATCTTAGTCAGGGGTGACGACGCATCCGCATTTTGATTCTTAATGGAGAATAAAAGTAGAGTTTAGGCCACAGCATCTACTTACTTCTAAAAAAAAACACAAATACTACTTATTCTAAAAAAAGCATTAGAGTGGCGTAGCATGGGTGCTGCCGTCCAGCACAAAAATGTCACAACTTTCATCATCATCAAAAAAAAAAAAACAAAATAGCTTACAATAGAATAATTTTTAGTCAATATAGGTTACAAGCATACTTATAGAATTTCATTTAAGCTTTACCACTGGTTCGGGAAAAACCTCTGTCTTGGGAAGTCAAAAGAAACCCAGCGGGATTTTTTTTCAAACAATATTAATTTACAATATATTATATTACACAAATAGCAAAAGACTTCTATAGCATTTATTGATAATAATAATTAGAAATCAATGAAACAATTTAATATTTTTTTTAGATTGTAGAGTATATTGCAGGGCATTTCTATTTTCAGAACTTTCAATGCTGTATATATAATACCGAACAGACTATATTATACCTGTATATATATAATATAGTCTGTTCGCTAAGATAGTGTCTGTACACCCGAAAGCGTACTTTTTACTTTGGTTTTATTTTTTACTGTTTGTTAAATATTATTGTTATTGTAAAAAAATACGAATATAAAAATAAACAAAAGTTAGGTAGCCTTTCACTACGGTGCTTCGTTTTAAAATGCCAAATTCTCCTTCGGGTGTACGCCGCACGCGGCGACCCTTGATGTCGCTGCGACGTCTTTGACAAAATGCGGCACGTGACAAGGCGGCGCAACTTTGTGTCGTATTTAAGCGGTAAGCGACCGTATCTAATCGGACAGATTATACAGTCCTTCTAACTCGTTCGAAGTGTTAGCAGTTTCGACTACATACCTGATAAATTGACCTCATGCGGCGCAACGCCCTCCTCTCCTTCTGTGTCTCGCACACATCACTCATTTATTGAAAATTCTGTAAATAAGAAAGAGTTAGTAAATTTTATTTCTACTTCAGCTTATAAAGGTCGTAAATGGACGTAGGCCTCTCTCGGTTTAGGAAGGCTTTGTCTTTATCGTAACTTGGATTGACGATCGCAGATTATTATAGCGCCATCTATTGGAAAGCCATAAGATTTTTCTGGCATTTTCCATGGTCGCTCCTTTAAAAAAAATACTTAATTATAAAATAAAATACTTCTTTACAACACCCACGGGATGAAATGGGGTGGTGAATATTCTTTCGCCACCACCAAATGGCAAGGTTTAATAAAATGTACTTTCCGTTTTCTGTTTAAACGGAAGAATTTTTTTAAGATTATAGACGACAATTATAAGTTCAAATGTCACGGGCACTTGGTTCATGGGTCATGGTATATGGCATCATGGGTTCGAAGCTCGAACGCGAGTATTGTCATCTTTACCCCTGCGCTATCACAGCTCAAGTCAATAAGGTGTGTTATTATTGGAAGAAGTCTGGCATCTGTCATAGACCACAAATCTTAATTATTTATCTTAGTTTTTAGGGTTCCGTAACGAAAGGGTAACCAATGGGACCCTATTACTAAGCCTCCGTTGTCCGTTCGTCTGGCCGTCCGTCTGTCAACGGGCTGTACCTATCTCATGAATGTGTTATTCTGTTATCGCTACAACAACAAATAATAAAAATTAAAATAAATTAAAAGCGGCTCCTCTACTAGAAATGTGTATTACGATGGTACGGAACCCTTAATGCGCGAGTCCGACTCGCACTTGACCGGTTATTTGTTTTTTTTTTTTTAGAATAAGGTATCAAACGAGCACATAATGGCACCTGGTAGTAACTAGATGGTGCGGGCCATAGACATATACATCTATCCTCGAATAAGAATCAAAATGCAGATGCGTTGTCATCCCCGAGAAATAAGATGGAATGCCTCGTTTCTAGTAAAAAGGGTGTACGGTTCTCTACACAAACCATACGAAACACAACAGCATAGAGCTGCTAATTTACATTTTTATTTTGTGAGAGCGTGGTTTATACCCGATCAAGCCGACTAATTCGTACAACAACCATAATATAGCTGCGGCATGGCTCTACCATGTAACAAAAGCATCAAGCTCGACGACAGCCATGGGACAAAATATCCGATAATTATTGTACAATACGTAAAACAAACGTGACAAAACGATTGGGAATTCACGGTTGCTTATTTTTTCATGTTTATCTGTTACAATTACATAACCTTATCAAAATGAACAACACAACAAAAACACAGGAACAAAAGAAATACGTAACTTCACAAGTCTTGTATGAAAAATATCCAATTAAATTGTGTTTTAACACAATAATCCCGATATGAACGAAAGGCAGCACGTTTGATTTCACTTAGGACTGTCAAGAAATAACTGACTGCGAAAACTTGAAACCTAACGAATCAATTTACACTTATGCAGAGCAATTGGAGGAAAGCCCGCGCGTCAGTACAGACCGACATCGAAAACTTCAAGGTATCATTTATCTAATCACACATAAATCATTGTTGACGTCTTTTTATCGATACCATAACATTTTTTTCGATTTGCACTGATAAAATATACTATAAAGTGGGATTTCCTGTAACGCGGAGACATTTTTTTATTATTGCCACATTTGTGTGATTATTATTGAAGTTGCCGAATACTTACTTGCTCGATATATGCAATAGGGTCTAAATATATATAGAACTAGAGATTCGTCCGGCTTTGCACCCGGGAGGTTCCTGAATGCCGACAACAGCGCTAACTACAGATTCCAAGCTCAAACACAAAAAGCATCAAAATCGGTCCAGCCGTTTGAGGAGTTCAGTCACACACACACGGACAGAGGATATAAATAATATAGCACGGTACTCATCACTTAGTGACCCTTTTACAGGTATTGCAATAAAGCATTTTAGAGATATAAATTAAACAATTAACAAAAATCGTATTATTTTAACGAAATAAAATAAAATAATTAAACATAACATTACTTTCTTATACAGGGTACAAGATATTAAATATAAATTTAAGATATTTAAAATTCTGGGTATCCTAATAAGAAAATTACAATTATTTACTTTTTAATTAATTCAATATTCAATATTATATATAATGGCGGCGTAAGAAAATTCACTAACCCGTGGGTTTCGTAAGAGGTGATAGAGGATAATGAAACAGATGGGCAGCAGCATCTTTCTGACAAAAAACTCAAAATCTATACAAATAAATAAAATTGAATTGTCTGTATGTATAATGTTAAAATAACAGCTTTTTACTAAATGCGTATGAAAGTATATATGGTACTCAGGGGCGTAGCTACCGCAGTATCAGCCGTATCAATGATACGGGGGCCCCCTGGCTACAGAGGCCCCGAACGTATGTAAGCAAAAATTCTAAGGACTTCTATGGGGCAGGATGTTGGTTTCAAGTGTTTGCCTAGCTTAGTTCCTAGGAGTATTAATTGTAAGTAATAACTTATAATCAATATATAATTATTTTATTTCAATGCGAGAGTTTTTGTTCCTTTTGTGAAAAATCTTTACCCTTCATTTGGGTCCCCTGACAAATTTCGGGCCAATACAGGGCCCCTCTAAGGCACGCTACTCCACTGACGGTACTAATAACAAAAAAACAATTTTTAATTTTTTTTTTGTCTGTCTGTCGGTATGTTTGTTCCGGCTAATCTTCGAAACGGCTGGACCGATTTTGACGGAACTTTCACTGGCAGATAGTTGATGTTATAAGGAGTAACTTAGGATACTTTTATTTTAGAAAAAGAAAAAAGAATTAGGGTTCCACGCAAGAAATTAAAACCCATCAAATCGTAGTAAATTCCACGCGGGTGAAGTCGCAAGGGGCAGCTAGTACTAAATAAATAAAAACTGCGGCTATTTACGTGGTTGAGACACGCTCTGGCTATTTTATTCCTGCAGACCAGACTAACTGCAGGGAAGGACAGTGCTTTCACAGAATACCAGCGTAAAACAGCAGCTTAATGTTGCTGCGTTTCGTATTGTGAGTGTAGCGAACCAGACTTTTTATTGGTAACGACGCAATTCCGTCTTAGTCCTCAGGAGTGACAAGCATCTACATTTTAATTCTTAATTAAGAACAGATGTAAGTGTCAATGCTATGCGGATCCATTCACCATTATGTGGATTGTGTGCCGGTTTGTCACACTTATTGTATAAACAAGTGATAAAATTAAAAATTTTGTACAACCGATTTCAATATAAATAAAATGACAACATCATCAATGTAGTCGAAGTCAATTAAATACGCATTATTAAGGATAACTCAAAAACTACTGGCCAGATCTTGATCAAATTTATATAGTATCATATGAGAAGCACCAGCTTTCAAATAAAAAAAATCATCAAGATAGGTTCACCTAGAAAAAAGTTCTGAAGTAACACATTTAAAAAAAATAGTTGAATTGAGACTCTCCTCCTTTTTTGAAGTCGTTTGAAAAATACAAACCTGCCTTCCAATCGCGGCATCCATGGCATATATCCCCCAAGTGAGGTAATCTATATAGCATATGTTCAGCAGTGGATTTTTGATAGATTAAGAATTAATAAATTAATTTTAGAGATATAAATTAACTTATTCATACTCATCGTTCTTTATCGCATGTAATTTATTGAATCGTTAAAAATAATTTATTTATTTCTTGGCTCTTTACTATCACTCTCCCCTTTCTGCGACAGACATCATAGCTACCTTAACACAACATTGGGAGTTCCTTTCTCCGATCAGCCAGACTTAAAATACCAGAACACCAGCGTCACATATGGCGAGTGTAGAGAACCGGAGACCCATATTACGAGTAGATACTGGAAATGAAGGATTCTATCTTAGTTCTCAGGGGTGACAACACGTCTGCACTGATCTTGATTCGTGATTTACGATAGATGTGGATGTCTATAGGCCGCGGCATCCATTTATCAACAGGTGGACTGTGTGCTCGTTTGTCACCCTTTTTTTTTTATAGGATAAGGGTGACAAACGAGCACACAGTCCACCTGATGGTAAGTGGTTGCTGCGGCCCATAGACATCTACATCTATCCTCTGTTACAAATCAAAATGTAGATGCGTTGTCACCCGTGAGGACTAAGATGGAATGCCTCATTTCCAGTAAAAAGGGCCTCCGGCCACCTGCACTCACCAAGCGAAACGCAGAGGTAAACCTCTACTTCACGCTGGTTTTCTGTGAGGTCGTGGTACTACCCCGGTTCGAGCTGGCCCATCCGTGCGACAGCAAAAGCTGCCGCGTGGCTCTACCACTGTTAGAGCCACGCGGCATAAATAACCCTTATTCTATTAAAAAAAAAACAGAAAAGGTTCAGATGCGTTGTCACCTCTGAGGACTAAGATAGAATGCCACACAGATACTGGGCTCCAATATCCTTAAATATTACCCTTAGTAATTTAAAATTAAAAAAATGTCGGTTTTAAAGAGTATTAACTGGGCGTTAGAGATTTTCTCAACACGAGAAAAATACAAAAATAATTTTCGTAGGTTGAAATTTATCTAGATATGCACGGAAAGTGAAACATTATCTTAATACAAATTATCATCCAAATCGTTAGAACCAATTCCGAGAAATCGATTAAATATATACAAGAATAGCTCGTTTAAAGTATTAAGATAAGTCAGCATAACACGTGAAAAAATATTTTGAATAAAGTAAAAGCCGTCTACAAACAACTAGAAAGAAAAATAATAATTTCACATCCTGAAGTTGGTGCTAAGGCATTGTATGAAAAATTAAAGTTTTTTTTTTATATAGAATAAGGATGACAAACGAGCACAGTCCACCTGATGGTAAGTGGTTGCTGTGGCCTATAGACATCCACATCTATCTTCGTTTGCGAGTTAAAATGCAGATGCGTTGTCAGTCGTGAGGACTAAGATAGAATGCCTCTTTTTCAGTAAAAAAGGTCTCCGGTTCTCTGCACTCACCATACGAAACACAGTAGCAATAAGCTGCTATTTTACGCTGATATTCTGTGAGAGCGTGGTCCTTCCCATTCGTGTTACAACTATACTATTGATATAGCTGCAGCAATTTATGTGTGTTACCTCAGAACTTTTTTCTATGTGAACCGATTTTAATGATTCTTTATTTGAAAGCTGGTCCTTCTCCGGTGGTCCCATATAAATTTGATCAAGATCTGACCATTTGGTTTTTGAGTTATCCTTAATAATGCGTATTTAAATGATTTCGACTACATTAATGATGTCCTCATTTTATTTATATTGAAGTCGGTTGTACAAAATTTTTAATTTTACCACATGTTGAGTGTATAACACGCACGGAGTCGTGATAACACGTGTAAAGAGGTAGAGCGACAGTTTGCTGAGGAAACGAGGCATTCCATCTTAGTCCTCAGGTCACTTCAGATGTACGCATCTGCATTTTGATTTTTAATCGAGTGTAAATGTAGACTGTCTATGTGCCACAGTATCCACTTACCATCAAGTGGACTGTGTGCTCGTTTGTTAACCTATGCTATAAAAAAAAGTGCGGGTAATTGTGTACACACGTACAACGTGAAACTTCCTTACGAAATATCATTCTTCTATTTTTTATAATTCATGCAGCCCCGGCGGTGAAACGTAACAAGAAAACGTGAGCTTTTTTTTAAAATGTACAAAATTTCTCCACTACGTAGTTAAGGAGTTACACCTCCTAAAAATCTGATTTAACTTCAAAAAAAAACAGACTAAGAAGGATGCAAATCCAAATTATTATGACATGGTAATTAATATTGACACATGCACACAGTGCACGCATACAGACTTGGTATACAAATACGATTTTATTACTTACATACTTTAAGTTTTACTATTAGAATAAGATCCCAGGTCAGACTTACGTTATAACAGATACAAAAGGTACATAAAAATTTAAAACTTTAAGAATGATTCACCTATAATATAAAAATGAATCGCTGAATGTGTTGCTAAGCGCAAATCTCGAGAGCAGCTGAACCGATTTCGCTAATTCTTTTTTTATAATTATCCTTGAAGTATGAAGATGGTTCTTACGGAGAGAAAAATTTAAAAAAATTGCCTGAAAAAGTCTAAAAACAACTCTTTTCTATATTCCCATACAAAAGATTCGTAATAATACTTAAAAGTCAATTTGAACTTTAATACCATACCATAAAATTTAAGTGTTAGTGGAGGGGTTCCGGGAAGGCAAAACAATTGAGTGACGTTAGTATCGTATAAATATTAATGTCAGTATTGTCAATATTTATATACACTGGCAGATAGCTGATGTTATAAGGAGTAACTTGGGCTCCTTTTATTTTAGGGTTCCGCAAAAAATAACTCCATGCGGGCGAAGTCACGGGGAACAGCCAGTATTTTTATACAAACATATATCTTTAGTTAACTTTGTAGTGGCGGTGTAAGAATATCCACTGCCCCATATCGTCCCGTGGGTGCCGTAAAAGGCGACAGAGGGAAACAAACCAAGAGACGGGCAGCAGCGTCTTTCTAATAACAACTAAAAAACAAAAACTGCGGTTGCCAACGCGCTTGCCAAGCGTGGCAACTATGACAAACCTCCCTCTCCGCGGCAATCTACGGGAAGACCTATGCTCAACAGTGAACTTTTAATAGGCTGTAACCCTATTCTTTTTAACTTTAGACCTGATAGTTAATCCAATAATTATAGAAAAAAGGGCTGGTAAACGGATTACATTAGAAACTTTAGGTCCAACCTAAATTGAAATCAATTTTTAAGCAATAAGAATAAAAACACCGAAAGAATGTAAAATATTTTTATTAAAAAAAGTTAAACAAGTTAGTTAAGTTAAAAAAATTATGTATATAAAATAGAAAAATATTTTTTTTATATTTAACTTATATCTAATGTAGGGGAATATTGGGAAAGTATGTACACATTATTAATATTTCTTAATAATTACCATTTGTATTACATTTCATATTTTTTACTAAAACTATTTGTCATTTAATTATTTATTTTACAAAACAATAAACATTGGTCCCTTCGAAGAGAGGTAAAGGTATGGGATGCTACTTGCGTAGACACTTTGGCGGCCTCTTATCTCAGGGGTACCTCGTTTAGAGCCGGGGCGGCATCAGAGGCAGCTGAACTGAGTAAGTGACAAAGTGACGGTGTTGGAGTGTCCACAGACCCTATTTACTGGAAAAGAGGCATTCCATTTTAATCCTCACGGGTGACAACGCATCTGCCTTTTGATTCTTTATTGAGGATAGATGTAGATGTCTATGGACCAGAGCAACTACTTACCATCAGGTGGGCTGTGTGCTCGTTTGTCACCCTATCCTATTAAAAAAATGCTGTTACGTTTTTATGTTTGATTTTTATCTCTCAAAAATTAAAAAAACCGGCCAAGTGCGAGTCGGACTCGCGCACCAAGGGTTCCGAACAAATCCGTAGGTATATAAGTTTAAAATTATTAAAAATATTTTTATTATATGATGTAACTAAAAATTTATGCTTTTCGCAATTTTTCCTTTATCTGTGCTATAAAACGTTGCTTAGTACCAAATTTCAAGATTCTGAATTCACGGGAAGTACCCTGTAGATTTTGATTCCCTTGCGAATGTCGAAACATTGCGACATAAACGACTTTATCTTTTGATTGCTTTGGCTTAGAAATTTGATTTTTTCATAGCTCCAAGGGACAGTAGACTTGAGTATTTGATATTAATTTCAGCTTGATACCTCCACGCGTTCCTGAGAAAAAGGGTCTTGACAGACAGACAGACAGACAGACGGACAATAAAGTGATCCTATAAGGGTTCCGTTTTTTCCTTTTGAGGTACGGAACCCTAAAAACAAGAACATAGAAAATTTTACAGATTATCTAGTTAGTACAGAGTATTAGTCCTTCGTCACAGTGTACTGATAAAGTAGAGGAAGCATAATATGTACAAGTTCTCCCCATGTTCCTCTATAAATAACAGCACCACCAAATAATAAAAAACCATAACCACAAAAACCGGGAACACTATATTCCACTCTATTTCTTATACTTATAGAACCCTTCTCCGGTCTTGATACCAAGTTTTCCTTCAGCGACCATCCTATCCAAGAGAGGTATTCGTCTAAAAACTGGGTTTTTAGTCTTCTCATACATAACTTGTAGAGCAAACTTATTGGTGTCGAGGCCAGTGTAGTCTGCGAGCTCAAAAGGTCCCATTGGGTACCCCGCACCTAATTTCATGCCGATATCAATGTCTTCTTTTGTAGCGTCACCTAGAGAAAATGGAGTTCTATGAGGTTAATGCATAAATGACAATATTTAATAGTTTAGACATTAAAAGTACATCTTCGTTATCTATTTCATTTATATTATGTTTAGTGGTAAAAGTATAAATGTCTTTTAATGAGTATTCTTGTAATCTATACTGAATAAAAAATAAAAAACCATGTTTTTTTTAAAATACACCATATTTTTTATTAATATTTATTTTATAATATTTATTTAATATTTATTTTTAAATTGTCATCCGATTCTGAACTATGTTTAAAATATCAAGTCTCCAGCTCATCGAGAAGTTAGTTTAAACATCAGCCTCATTATAGTTAATCCTTCCAACAATTGGGGTCAAAACTTCATAATAGTTTTGGCAGGAACTGAACCCCAAAACAGATTGTTTCCCTTGTATCGTTCAAATAATGGTTTGAAGGATTAAAGTGATGTGATTTGATATATTTTACTTCTATGCATAATGCATATAAACAATGATGGAAATTATGAAACAATTACTTTGAGGATAAAAAGGTATTTTTTCAGCGAGTCACACTGACATATTTATTTGGATGTCAATATTTCAAAGAAACTTTCTAATTATAGTCCCACCAACTTATCTGTGAACTGACAGCTGCGGCAAAATTGTGAACTACAGCCGTCATTTAATCAAATGTCACTCGATACGTCATTGTTTTGAGAGTTTATAGAAAAATAAAAAATGCCGAAAACCATTAAAAGTGATGCCCGAAACATTATTTTATAAGTATTAAACTTTTGTGAGCAAGAAGCTCGAGGGTAAGCACCGATAATGCCTTTCAATCAGGTCTATAAAAGAGTATCTGCTGCTACAGGTCAGTATTGCTATGTTTTGTTCCTTCCTTTCGTATTTCCGATAAATGGATTGGTTAATGCAATTCATTTCTTTTTCAGATGTTAGTCAAGGATTCATTTCTAAAATAGTTAAAGAACCGGAAATCGCATAAACCACAGGAACGCAAATTACAACGCCCGGTAAAAAAGGCATAAAGGCATATTATTTAATTAAAGTTTAAATTGTTCAATTATGATATTTTTGTTTCTTCTTGTTCTTGGACATATATCTGTTAAATCTGTGTTCTAGTCTTTTTATTCCGTGACTAATTTATTACCCTAGTATGTGGACTCTATGTAGGAATATAAGACCCTTAGATGGGAATATTCCCGAACTGGCAACACTTCAGCGCAGAAGCGCCAAGCTGTCAGTTCACAGATAAGTTGGTGGCACTATATAATGTGATGGATTATGTATCACATATTTTTTTATTGCGGTCTTTTTGGCTAAAGGCCTAGTAGCCAATGCTGTAACAATTTAACGGCAATAATACCTTCACCAACAAACTGTCTTATATACCAAAAAATATTATAATAGGCTATTTGACAACATGGAAAATATACTACAAATTATGGTCATCCTATCAGTTAATACAGTAACAGTAGATCTCTCGTAAATATCAATGTAGTCTGTTTATTATGCAATCAAAAATCATTTAAAATGGTTTTCCGAAATTAGTTAAACAGCCTACTAAAATGACGAAATTAGCAAGTCTCAAAAATCCCAAACCAAACAAAGTTTAGTGAAACATAAGTACTAACCTCTTTCATACATTCTTAAAGCTTCAGCACTGTAAGGTCCCAACAGTCTATTGACCACAAACCCAGGCGTGTCTTTGCAGGTAATACAAGTCTTGCCGATCGCTTTGCCCCATTCCATCATTGTTTGATACGTGGACTCCGAGATACCTTCACCTTTGATCACTTCTAAGAGGCGCATCACGGGCACTGGATTAAAAAAGTGAAGGCCGCCATATCTACAAAAAAACAAAGTGGTTTAGGGATATTGTAAATTACTTTGAGTAGTTTTCAAGAAAATGCTGTTGTCCGTCTCCTGTTTAAATTCCCTCTGTCACCACATAAGTCACCCAAGGGATGATATGGGGTAGTGGGTTCTCTTTACCGCCAGTACAGTGAGTCAAATTCATTAGTATATTGTTATATTTTTTTTATAGGATAGGGTGACAAAGGAGCACACAGTTCACCTGATGGTAAGTGGTTGCTGTGGCCCATAGACATATACATTTATCATCGTTTGCGAATCATAATGCAGACGCGTTGTCACCCGTGAGGACTAAGATGGAATGCCTCTTTTCCAGTAAAAGGGGTCTCCGGTTGTCTGCACTCACTATACGAAACATAGCAGTGCTGAGCTGCTATTTTACGCTGGTATTCTGTGAGAGCATGGTCCTTCCCTGGTCGAGCCGAATTATTCGTGCTACAACTATACTACTAATATAGTTGCAGCATGGCTCTACCACATATAAGTTATTATTATAGTAATACCTGTTTGATTATAGAAAATTAACAAAGTTAGTATGTAAAAAGAAGTAAGATACCATTTACTCATTTGTTTAACCCTGGATAAATGAAGAAAAAGTTATTGAAAATTATATATATAAATATATATATTACATTTGCGAATTATTTAAGCACCTAATAAAGTAAACCCAATAGTGTATATTTACCTATCTTTTCTCTTAATACCAGCTCCAATCTCGTTGATAGAAATCAATGAAGTATTGGTCGCCAAAATTGTGTGTTCTGGTGCAAGCTGAAAGATATATAACATATTACTATTACTATTACAGTATATCAAAAATCTCTTGCTGAACATAGGCATCACCCATAGATTGCCTTATAGGAGGGATATTTGCCGTAGTTGCCATGCTTGGCAAGCGGGTTGGCAACAACTCACAAGATACTGCTGCCCATCTCCTAGTTCAGTTTCCCTCTGTTGCCTCTTACGACACCCACGGGATGATATAGGGTAGTAAATATTCTTACACCGCCACTACACGTTTGAAATATATATATGCAGTCAGCAGTGTTGTGATATGCCAGTTGACCAAGCTGATACTCGTACTTATATACTATAATACGTTGGTACTCAGCACGTCTGTCAGTTGCCCTGCTTGAGTCTACTACAATATAAGATATTATTTGTATATAACGTAAAATAAAACAAATCCTTTATTATCACTGTATAACATATAATAGGATTGCACGTTTCTGCTTTCTAACGGACAATATGCCGCGTGTTCCAAGGTGGTATGCATTTCACGTGGCTGGAACGCACTCTAATGTTCGACCTCTTGGAGAGCATAATCGATACGTGGCTTAACAATAATCGAGTTATTTCTTATTATCTTCATTACCTTGTAAAAATCCACTGCTGGAATAGGAAAAGAGTGCAAACTTTGCTCCTTTTGTTTCCTATAGCAGACCAGGTTTTCCTCAGTCTCCCCGCTTGTAAGGCTCTTTTCTTGAAAGTTCCTAAGTCATATCATTCCAAAAATCGATGGCACCAATAAACTTAACAATGTTGCAGAAAATTCCATGATAAACGCATTGTAGTGGACTGCAAGCAATGGTGATGATGTGGATGAAGTTTTAAGTACTGTTGCAGTGTACGATAGTGGAATTTAGCAGCTAAAATGCCAATTTACCACATGCTTGAAGTCCACCAACACAGACTAAAGCAGTGCAACTTACTAATTGCTCCATAATCCTCTCAGAAACGGAGAGGCATGTGCCCAGCTGTGGGACATATGTATATAGGTTATAACTTTACTTCATCATTTTAAATTTTCCTTCAGCCACAAAAGTCCTTTTTTTAAAAAGCAGATTTTTTTAAATTAGCTGAACATAGGCCTCCCCAAAGACTGTCATCAGGAGGATTTATGCCATAGTTGCCATGCTTGGCAGGCAGGGTAGACAACTGCAGTATTTAATTTTCTAATTGTTATTGGGAAGATTGACAAAATACGACACAAACAAATAAGAGCAATTACAAAAGTCACTAATACCTTGAGTTGTGCACAAAAACTAAAGTGGAAATGACCAGACATGGACCGTAAGAGCAACCCTATGAAAAGGTCCACAAGAAAAAAGAAGCAGAGGAAGACCACTCACACAATGTTAAAAGAACTGTCGGCTCAAACTGGAGCCAAATAGCATAAGACAGAGACAAATGGGTATCTTTGAAGGAGGCCTTTACCCAATCTGGGGTCCTAGCAATAAATAAAACTAACAAATAATTTAAGTATATTTAAATAAAAATTAATAAAATAATACACTAGGTACACCACCACTGCATAGTTACATTTACTTTATACAATTTAATAATAAAGAGAGTTCACCTGATCAAGCTTATTAAATAGCTCCTGTTTAACATCAAGCTTTTCAACAATTGCTTCTATGATTAGATCTGAATTTACACCATCTTCTATCTGAGTTGACACTTTTATTCGGTTAATGGAATCTTTCACAAAGTTTTCCACTTTTGATACATCATCTTTGTACATCTTCTTACCAACTCTTGTCAGGTTATTTTGGATAGATTTCTGAGCTTTCTCCAGTAGTTCAGGTTTCAAATCAACTAGTGTCACATTTTGTCCTGCTTGAGCTGCAACCTTTTAAAAAATTTATTTAACCATTGTACACATATATATGTAAAATTAATTATTGTGATTTTAAAATAATAAAAAATATGTGAAATTAATCTTATTTGTGAAAGAAGATAAAATCGGTGTTGTATCTATTTAAGTTATGTAATCTATATTAAATATAAAAGTAAAATAAAAAATAAAGATATAATCACAACCTGACTGCTGTGATATTGCTTGCTTTTAACGCATCTACAATTCCCCTGGTGTTGGCAGTTGTTCATGGGTGGCGGTAGTCACTTACCATCAGGTGAGTCCCATGCTCGTTTGCCCTTTCCTATAAAAAAAATAAGTATGGTATAGAGTAACAGGGAGTTGGTTTTTTTTCTTTTTTATTTCTATGGACAGGAAAAAAATGAAAGCCTATTTCTTGTAATGAACACAAAAAAAATGAGTTTTCTTACCTGTGCGATTCCTGATCCCATGAGCCCACCTCCAACAACTGTAACTGTTTTAATTGCATTTTGCGGTGCAGAACTAGAAAAGTTTCTAGTAATACCAAAAAGCTTGTTCATTTTTCACTTTCTTATTAAATATCTTTGAAATCCGATTAGAAAGTGTATTTTGTTCACACAAAACTTTATACATATACTACTTTCTCAGTACTCTGCGTAAGAAACAATATTAAAATAATCAAAAGTTCAAAGATCAACAGCTGCCTACCCAAGCGTAAGACCGAACTCTGTGATAATTAATTAATAAAGAAGCACACAGAATAATAAATTCTAAGTACATACGTACTAAGTGTATAATATGTTAGATTTAGACGTTACATGATAAGATTACAACTTACCTGTCATAGTTGAATTTGTAACGCGGTAGGCACTTATATAATATACACAATTTATTGTAGGCATTCACCACCTATTTGAGCAATATTAATATAAAGAAAATAAAATAAACTTCTATGTATATCTATAGATATTTTTAAACCATCAAAATTCAAAACACATCAAAAGTCAAAACAAACATAATTTTTTTATTGAAATTTTAGTTTGGATGCTTGTCTTTTAAGCCATGTATTAATTTAATCCTGATCCTGAAGATCCTGAATCTTCCTTTCGATCCGTTGCGAAATTTTGGGAGAAATTGCCAGATTAAGCCAGCAGACAGTCGATGACGACAGTATCTCAAGGCGCCTAAGTAGACACATTATCTTGAGGTTCACATCAAAATCAGAATCTTGTTTCATAGTTTCCACTAATAATTCACATTCACATGCATGGGCATTTAATATACAAAATCGCAACCCTTGTACATATCAAAATCCACTTAAAGCCATTCTTTATACAATAAAACAACCGCCGGCGGTCAAGTTACCGCAAAAACTCTTCAACTTAGATTAGATTACTACTTATTTTGCAATAACCGGCAAAATTTGCAGAGAAGGTCCAGAATAAGTAATATAGGCAAATGGTGAAGAAAAATTAATAAAATAAACTCAAACATTCTGTCCTTTTTATCTTTTAAATTCAAAACGCATGGTAATGCATTATTTTAACTGAATTTACTTCGCACGCACACATTCGTAAGGGTCGATTGGTAGGCCAAAACGTTGTTGCGCATAAATCACAATCAATTTCGGATAATTTCAAACATTTTTTTTTTATATTTGTACTACTGTAGTTTAAAATTTGGATACTATTTGAAAAATAAACCTGTATATAGCATAGATTACTTTGTCACACACATATTAATAAATTTCTTATTGTCAAACAGTCCGCCAATGAAGGCTGGCAAAGGTCTATATACCATATAGCCTAATCTGATTTGTATTTTGTTAATCATATTCTTCACAATTTGCTAATGCGGGTGGATTTTGGACAATTCAAGGCAGCGGACAGTTGATGACGATAACATCTCAAGCTGCCATAGCGGATACAAAAACTTAGATTTATATCGCCAACGAAACACCTTTTAACATCCTTTTAACAAGTAAAGAACGTAAGGATATTGTGGGCCTCTCTGTTGAGCAAACTGTAGAAATGTGATGTGTTGAGTTCGAGCACTTCATTGTTGTCAGTGTTTACAGGCTCCCACATTCTATAAATGATTGTTTTGAAAAAAATAATGGAGGAAGCTTTCCTTAAACTTAATAAACAAAATAAATCTGTTGTCATATGTGGATACTTTAACATTAATCTCCTTGAAACTTATTAAGTTTAGATCATAGCTCAAATCATACAACCTTGTTAATTTGTTCTATGAGCCAACACGTATTGCAGGGCCTAATGCAACTCGTATTGATAATATTTTTACTGCTGTTGAGCCCTTACATAAATTAATTATTCAAAATTTAAGTTCTGATCACTGTGGACAGTTAGTCTCGCTACCATAGAAAAATATTGAGCACTTTGAGTTCTTCCTGTCTAGGGTGTGATAAGCATGCCTTAATTCTAAAAAAACTTTTTCACCAATATTTTTATTAGATTACATGGACACAATTGGTGCAACATAAATAATAAAATATTGAAGGGTGATATTGATGAAAAATATGTATCTAAAATGGGTGAACCCCAAAAATTGGCCTTAAAGAAGTATAAAAGTCTTAGGTTAAGAAAAAAATGTTTAAGTAATTAAAATGTTGATGAAATGACGGCCTGGATATGCAGGTGGCTTAGGACCGTGCTTTGTGGCATTTCTTGGGGGAGGCCTACGTTCAGCAGTGGACTTGTGAAGCGCTGTAATGATGACGGTGGTTAAATAGAATGTTCGGATTCCTGAAACGTAAACGCTGTTTCAGGTCCCCGCAAACCAAGTATAAAACGGGTCGATATTGCGAATGGCTATGTTATGTGTGCCGGACAGGTATGTGTGGTGCCGGAAGCGGCCCCCACCATTCGAGACACCGCGCGCACGTACCTTCTAAACGAGGCCTACTGACCCGAGTGCTGCACACTAAATAAAGTAGCTCAGGATGTAGATTTATTCTGCTGTTCCTTGGGTGAATTTACCTAAGTGACATTATATTATGTATTATGTTATAATAGTAGATAAGTTGTGTTCTGTCCTTATTAAATTAGATAGTTTTATGTGCCTACACTGTCGTATTAGGTACGCCTGTAAAGACAGAGGTAGAAATAAATAAATAAATAAAGTTACTCCCTATAAATCTCTGGTCTGTAGGAACCTAGAATATGCTTCTATAGCGCGGAGTCGATTTTATGCTATATTACGCTATTGGCATCTTGAGCATACTTGTTATTTTTAATGTTGATGTCGATATTTGTTTATTTTTCAGATGCTTATCATGGAACAACCTCCAAGTGAAAGTACTAACACCAAGGAGATAAATGATAAATGATAATATAGATTACTTTTTAATTACGATTATACTAAACTGTCGTTAACAGTAGCCATACAGAGTTAATACATTCAATATAGATGTATACATTATATATTTATTCCTTAATTTGGGGTTTATGTATAAGAGCATAAAATTCACAAATATTGTTTGTTTTCAGGAATAGAAATCTAATGCTGATGTGGTGAGACAAATGTTGCCAGAAGATACATTTTGTATCTTCTGGCAAAATGGTATGATAAATTCAGTTTATTCTTAGACATAATTAGGCAAAATTTCAACATATCTATTATATTTATATTCAGCATATCTATCCTCAAATCACAATAAGAGTTCTTTATTCTTCATCTAATCTAAAGATTACAGTTCCACTACACTTCAATGGTTTTATCAACAACTCCTTTAGTATTAGGGTTACACTTACTTGGAACTCTGTGCCTGAAGACGTTGATAAAGCTCCTGATAATGGATGTATACAATGCTAATATTTATATATTTTTTATTTCTTATTTACTGCATCTACCACTTTATTTACACCACACCATGGCTGACCGAAAGAAAATGCCAACTGCCATGAAGCCGCCCTTTGTTACCTTAATATGAATAATATATGATTTATTATTATCATTCAGTCATAAAATATAAATATTGGACTTTATTTTTATTTATTTCTTTTCAGGTTACGTGGTGAAGAAAATGAAATAAAAGAAGAGATGTTAAAATTTAAAAAAAGATTGTAACTTGTAGGTGAACAATCCTCGCAAAGACTTGCTTAATGTCCTATCTATTTTAAAACTGTAGAGAACTATTTGAAAACCCTTATATGTTAAACAAATAACTTTCTTATTAATACAATTAAAACAATTTTGTAAAAAATGGCCAGGCTTACCCTACATGAAAAATAAATAGCATTGCTTCTAATAAAAAGTAACTTGAAAAGTAAAATATTAAGCACTTAAATATGATTAATGTGTTTTAATTTGCTTTATTTAATGAACTATAAATATCGCTCTGTTTCTCGTCAAATTGTACTTATTTATGTACAATGTTATGTACAATTTTCTAATTTGTTTATATAATTTAATGTGCCTTTAATTTAATCCTAAGATTACGTATGTTGGTGTGCTTGAATAAAAAGTAAATGTTAATGTATTATAAGTGTTTCATTAAGTAATATTATTATTCCTGTATAATGCACTTCTGTCGATATCGATAAAATAAGGACACCAGTAAATATCGATATCGATGATTTGAAGGATGTGTGCTTGCAATCTCTAAGCTATATTTTTTTTATTTATTTTATTACTCATCTGTCAAAATGGGCGACTGCAGCGCCAAAAGGCGTAGTTGGGAAACTTGACTAAAAGTCACTGTCGTATCTGTAGCTTGCTACATATATATTTATCTATGCTCGCTACCTTACTTGCACAAAAAACAGAAAGTTAAGAAAGAATCTATTTTAATCTATATGTATCTCTGTGAATGTATTTTACTTGTTTCTTAAAGAGAAATATTGAGTTAATTTCGATAGCTTTAATTTCCTAAACTGAGTTTAGAACACTGTACAAAGAAAGGTTTACGAAGAACTATTTAACGACTATTTATTAATTATTTACAAACAATTAAGCGGCAATTAATTACTAATTTAAATTAATTAAGGGAACACTAGACGGGATTTCTTCTTTCTTGAGTCTTCTTTCTTGTCTGCCGCTTGGGAATCGAATGACTCCCAGCGGTTTTTTTTCCCCCCAGAAGCAAACTAAAGGGCTATCCTCCGGGAAGCGGGGGAGGGAGGTGGTGAATGCTGTTAGCATACCACGCAGCCGGCTGCGTGGTTATGTGGGACTCACTATGAAAACCTAAGTGCCTACCCACTAAACACCACCTGGGTTTTGCTTTGGCCTGGAGGGCCTTTTTGCTTTATCGGAAGCGATCCCCCTTGGGGAAAGGGGGTGGAGGCGGCGAGTAGCCCCTGAGAAGCGCGCTTAACTAAGGCAAAGTATGAAATAGGAGAAAACTCGGCCTGAGCCGTCAGGAGGCAGTCCAGGTAGGCCGAAAGTTTGTTAGGGGGGGGGGGGGAGGTCCGAGAGAGAATTTTTCGGCCTGCGAACTCGATAGCGAGATGGAAATGGGGCTGCATATGAAACTGCCTCACGAATAAGATGATTTGAGTAAGACTCTGAGGCTTTGAAGAAGTTCTCAGAGAGTGAT